AAAAATGAATATGAAAAAATACACCGAAAATTTCTACAAACTTCTTGCAACATTATCTTTGACTATGAAGTGTGAAAGACTCAAAAGTTATCAACACTTCCAATTTCAACATTCTAACTCAATTCTCACAATTACTATCATTCATTTTCAATGTAATAACTATCAATTGTTTCACCTTAAACCTTTGTAACCGAATCTAATTACACCATTATTTCTCCAAGTCCTTGTATAACTTAGCGCTCCTCGTACATACCATATACTGAGAATAGTGAACTTTATTCAATATCTCTCCCTCGGAATCATCCAACAATGGTACACAATCTTCCTTGATATCTCAAACCACCATATATTCCAACAATGCTACAATCCTTAATTTCTGTAAGTCTTTTTGGAAAGTCTTGTTATTGCACAACGCTACTTCAATTATTAATGTTATTCTCCAAAGTTATCACCACATATAATTTTTCCAATAGTCCTACAACAATCTACTGGCACATGTTTTCAAAATATCACAATCTTTATATTTAACATACCTAAACACATTTAACCTGATCAATTAACATTTCAATGCCTCAACTTATTCCTCGTACCATCTAGCTATTCTCCAATCTTTAAGTAAAAATCTAAACCAAATCAAACTTTACTAACGCTAGTATTGACGAATTTAAATTCATAAACTTGTATATATGTATCGATCCAATAACCACTTAAACTCATAAAAACAACAATGATTTACGTTACGCTCACAAACCCTTCAATTCATGTGTTTTACCACTATGGCTCTAAATACCCTAAATTATGAACTAGCGCCCATATGTCCCTTAACCTATTTTTCTTTTGTTTACGAATTTCTCAACTTTCACTTTTCATTAGAGGCCCTGCTCCTATCATCTCAATATATTCAAGCCATGCTCCCATCACCTCAATATATTCCACATTTTTATTTACTCATATATATATCTAAGGCCTTCTCCCACCCCTTAGATATACGTCAAACAACACACACACCCTTAACACCACTGTATTTATGATGCATATGTAATACAGCGCAAACATCATTTATTTCTGCTGAATAATAACACAGATAATAACAATAATATTTCATATTTAATCACATGAATAATAATATTCACCCAACGTCAAATAATATTCATCGAGCAAATGAACAATAATATTCATATTTATAATATCATATAAAAGCACCAAGATTAAAAGTGGCATAGCCCTATCATCGGGAATCAGGAAACCCTACCTCAAGTCCAGCTAGCTAAAGTACCAAATTTACCCTTCGGAGATTCTCGGAGTTGTCGAATCTACACTTTTGATCCAATTCCTTAGAGATTTTTCTTCTATTCTCTTCTTCTTTTACTCCTTGTTCTTAGTTTTTCTCTCTTCTCTCTCTCTCTCTCTCTCCCCCCCCCACCAAAATTATCTTCTCCCTCTTGCCAAAAACTCACCTCCCCTAGTTCTTAAAAAGATTTCAGCTTCATTAAGAAAAATCTATTAGGCTAGGTGACTCACCACCTTAGACTAGGTGACTCATCCTCATCCTTTCATAATGGAGGTTTTGAAAGCTTGAGGCAATGGAGGAAGAATGGGAGGGTGGATGATTTAATTTCTCCTATCTCTTTTTTCTTTCTTACAAGGATATTTTGGTAATTATCCACACATAGGGGTATTTTGGTCATGTTTGTCCAACTTCAAATTAAACACACTTAATTTAATAATCTCCATCCAAAATCACTTGATAAAATACCCATAATCATTCTCCACCATAATATTATTTTTCACTAAAATATGAAAATCCCTCTTGAATTTTTCAGGGTATTACAAATACATTTGGAATGTCAATGCCACATCACATGTGCAGCAGCATCTGTTCTGTGCACACAAGAATACCACTTTTTTCTTTGTTTCACTTGAGCTAAATAAAAATGTTGTATATTGTTGTGGATGGAACAAGGAATTATGTTTACTGGGTTTGTTAAGGTCAAGGTGTGTTTTTGTTTCAGAAAGGCTCTTTTTTTTTGCTCTCCTGTTGTGTTGTTGATTATTGGCCATGTTGGTTGTAATAATTCATTTTGGACTTGTTAAATTGACAGGACCCGTCCCGAATTTCCCGGAACCCGAGACGAACCCTGCGGAGACCCCGGCATCACACCCACGCCGGGTTTACTCCTTAAATCTACGTCCTCGTTCACCATAGAGGATTAAGGGCACGAGACTTTCTACCGAAAATTCGGCAGAGTCTCCCCTGTAAATTGAATATTCCCCAAAAGTTCCACCTGCATAAAACTCATTTTATAACCCAACCAGCAGCACGCACAATATAATCTCATGCAATTTACATAAATGGCCTCCGGCCTTCAATGATTCTAGTAGACTGCCCACATTGTTTTCAAAATAACTTCATGCATCAACCATGCATATAACAAATTCCAAATCTCTCTATGCACACCTTCACTCACTCAGTCCACCGGACAAGCCTCAATTCAACCAAGTTTCGGGACCAACCACGAGGTCCGCATCATACACGATAAAACCACCTAAGTGGTGTCTAAGTCGTGGCTGCACCTAGGCGCTATCCCAGGCTGCCTACGTACCCTACTAAGGGATCAAGCCACACGTAGCTCTTTCCTATCAATCCTGGCTCCTGATATCAATTAAACCATTACATCCATATAAATTCATCACAACACACCAAACACAATCACATAGCTCCACTCATACGTCGGGACGCACCCGGCCACGTACGGGGTCTATCAACACGCCGGCTAATCCAAAGACGCGTGCGACCTCACACTGGGCCTGGCTACATTCTCACCAGCCATCATACCATCATATCTCCCACTCATACGTCGGGACGCACCCGGCCACGTACGAGGTCTGTCAACACGCCGTCTAACCCAAAGACGCGTGCGACCTCACACTGGGCCTGGCTACATTCTCACCAGCCCTCACACATCATATCTCCCACTCTACGTCGGGACGCACCCGGCCACGTACGGGGTCTGTCAACACGCCGGCTAACCCCAAAGACCTGCGACCTCACACTGGGCCTTGCTACATCTCACCAGCCCTCACAAATCCCCTATCTCCCACTCATTAACGTCGGGACGCACCCGTTTCCACGTACGGGTTCTGCAACACGCCGGCTAACCCAAAGACGCTTTTGCGACCTCCGACACTGGCCTGGCTACATTCTCACCAGCCCTCACACAATCATATCTCCCACTCATACGTCGGGACGCACCCGGCCACGTACGGGGTCTGTCAACACGCCGGCTAACCCAAAGACGCGTGCGACCTCACACTGGGCCTGGCTACATTCTCACCAGCCCTCACACAATCATATCTCCCACTCATACGTCGGGACGCACCCGGCCACGTACGGGGTCTGTCAACACGCCGGCTAACCCAAAGACGCGTGCGACCTCACACTGGGCCTGGCTACATTCTCACCAGCCCTCACACAATCATATCTCCCACTCATACGTCGGGACGCACCCGGCCACGTACGGGGTCTGTCAACACGCCGGCTAACCCAAAGACGCGTGCGACCTCACACTGGGCCTGGCTACATTCTCACCAGCCCTCACACAATCATATCTCCCACTCATACGTCGGGACGCACCCGGCCACGTACGGGGTCTGTCAACACGCCGGCTAACCCAAAGACGCGTGCGACCTCACACTGGGCCTGGCTACATTCTCACCAGCCCTCACACATCATATCTCCCACTCATACGTCGGGACGCACCCGGCCACGTACGGGGTCTGTCACACTCCGGCTAACCCACAGACCGCGTAGCGACCTCACACTGGGCCTGGCTACATTCTCACCAGCCCTCACACCATCATATCTCCCACTCATACGTCGGGACGCACCCGGCCACGTACGGGGTCTGTCAACACGCCGGCTAACCCAAAGACGCGTGCGACCTCACACTGGGCCTGGCTACATTCTCACCAGCCCTCACACAATCATATCTCCCACTCATACGTCGGGACGCACCCGGCCACGTACGGGGTCTGTCAACACGCCGGCTAACCCAAAGACGCGTGCGACCTCACACTGGGCCTGGCTACATTCTCATCAGCCCTCACACAACCATAACTCCCACTCACGCACCCGGCCACGTACGGGGTCTGTCCTAACCCAAAGACCTCACACTACATTCTCACCAGCCCTATCACTTGGGCCTGAGCATAATCACAATATGAGGGGTACGTGGGGTAGTGCGTATAGCACTGTAAACTAATATTCAATCTCCTTATATATCATTATACCTCCATACAATCAATTAAATATACATATAATTTCTAATCATACAAACACCTTAACAAACAACTAGCATCCGATAATCCCCCATAATCCCCATGACATCAGGACCTGTCACCACGGTCATTTTAATCTTCCTAGGAATGTAATACTACCTAGGAAGTCCCACAGACAAACCGGGTCAACTACCCAACCTTGGGTCAAACGGGCCCGCGGGGCCCACACCTCCAATTTCCGATCCGAAAGTTCCTATAGGTTCTACAAGCTCTAGGATGCACGTCCTGCAAGTTTGGTCCAGATCGGACGGTCGGATCGCTCACGATCGCACGATCGGACGGTTACTAAAACCCTAACCCCAGGGTTGGCATTTCTGGAGTATCCGGGACTCCGTTTTACGATCCGTCGAATCCTACACGATCCTGGTAATACCTAGATCAACATATTATAATTCAGGACCATCCAACGGTCCAAACCTAGCGAACCCGGAAAATACGCGATATGCGATATCCGTTCGGGACTCTAACGGTAACCAAATTGAGATCCGAGCACACCTACGCGCTCGTGACATCGAGAGGATCACATTGGAACAAAAATGCCCCTCAGCTACAGTGCCCACGCGCCGCCACACGCGCCGGCAGCGCGTGGGTGTCCAAAGCGATAACCCATCGCCGGAAAAACCACAAATCACGGCTCAAGACTCCTACCCTAGGTAAAACACCTAATTTGGAGTCACTTTTGTTCTTGGACGTACCCCAAAAACTGACCGGAAGTGGCCGGAATCTCCCCTCGAAATCCGGCCGAAACCCAATTCGTAAATCGAGTTGCCTACGCTACAAATCGATCAATTCCTACCCAACAGGCAGCTAGAGCTCGGAAAATAGGTGAGAAACCATACCTCACTTGCCGGAATCGGTGGCCGGACGACGGAGAACGAAGCCGGCGAAGTTTCGGGCGAAACCGAGCTTTTCTCTTCGATTTTCCGGCGAAATCTCGACGGCTGACGGCGAGACCTGGCTGGGGTAGGAAGAGGACGGCGGCCCGGTCATTTTGGTACCGGCCCCGTCAACTTTGGTGGCCGGATGAGCGAACGGCCGGCCAAAACGTCGCCGGCTGTGGTGACGGTCGCGAACCAGAGGAGAGAGAGAGCGACGCGCGGGAGAGAGAGAGAGTGTGTGAGAGACGGGGGCAATTCCGTCTTTTAACCAAAAATCCATTTTCCAAATATTTACAATTATGCCACTGAGCTTCTTTTGATCATATCTCTCTCGTTACAACTCCGATTCGAGCCCACTACGTGTCTACGGACTCATCTCACCGTGCTCTACGCAACGGTACAACCGGAATTCCCAAATTCCTTCCATGTAAGAAAATGACTAAAATACCCCTATCCCACGGGTAATTTCTCAATTCCACTTAAATAAATTAAAACATGGGATAAATTTGGGGTCGGGGTGTTACATAAATTGCATTATCTTTAGCAGGTATTCCTACTCTCCTTCCCCGAAACGATATAGTAGGTCCCTTTCGAGGTCTATTTCGAGGTTGAGGTGAAGGTCAAGGTTGTGCTTTTAACCAAGCTGCTTCTCATTTGGCCCTATTTATTGAATCTTTTTTACTATAATCCTAATTTAATTTCAGTTCTCCCTCTCTCTCCCACAGACATTTCGACTCGGCTTTGTTTCTCATTCGTCCTTTCCTTTCCTTCACTCTATTTATTCTTCTCTTCCATTCTCTTCTCCTTTGATCCCATTTGTTACATTTCGACTGCAATTGCTTGTAGTTCTCTCTCAAGCTTACATATTTGCTAACGGTATATTTGAAAGAAAATGACATGCATTTGACCCAAACTCTGCCTTTTCTTTTTCTTTGTCTTTTCTTCATAAACTGATATTTAGGAGTTTCTTAATGGGCTTTTGAGCCCCATTGCAACTTACAACTCACATTTTAATTTGTGTTAGAAAATCTTTTGTAATATGGAGTATGGGCCAACTACTTTCAGACCCACAACGATGTTTTGTAAGCCGGTCATACACCCCCAAGTTAAGGACAATAAACAGTAGAAAAATCTTCAAATGGATTTCTATATTTAAATCATAAACTATATAGGCATAAAAAATTCTTATAATCTTAATTATTACTTGAAATATGCCATGTCTTAAGATTGAGAAGAATTGCCACTATAATATTTGAGGTGGGTTGTAACTTGTATTAAGATTTAAGAGCTATAAAGGAATTTCATATAATTGCAATTATAATTGGTGACTGCCATGCAATCACCAAAATCATTCAGATACAAAGTTTTAATGGGTAAAAGGGTCCCATAGATATTTCAAATTGTACACTTGTTTGGTTTTTCGGGTTGGTAATCAATTTGTAGTTTCTTCCAACCACTACATACAAGCAGTTAAAGACAACAAATCATCCAATTTGGTGAGCCACTTCTCTCCAAATTTTGAACATAATCTCGCATTGAGATCATCAACCTACATTTGATTTCTTCCCCCTAAATATGAAACGGGGTCGTTGACCAATTATTACGTCTTTGGCTTATATTGGTTTTCAACGCGTGAAGGGCCAACCCTTTCTCAACTGGTAAAAATTATAATGATTAAAGCCCTGAAATTAAGGTGATGAGAAAGTCTTTCCTTTTCTGACTTTCTTTTTTGTTCATTCATTTACCATTTCGTTTCGTACAAGACTCTCTCTCTCTCTCTCTCTCTCTCTCTCTCTCTCTCTCTCAATTCCATTATTTTATAAACAAAAGAAAAATTCGGTGATTTACCACCTCAACAAAATGTCCACAATTTTGAGTTTGACATAGTAAACCTACCACCCTCAATTTTTTTTAATCATTTATTTAATTAATTATGTGAATTAAAAATCCAATATTTGTGTTCATAAAGCAAACGATTGTAGTTAGTGGGATATGAACTTAATCCAATTAGAACGGTCTTATGAGTGGTTGAATATATAAAAGAGCCCGGGAAGGGAAAAATTGGAGACAACCGACTAACAACTATCTTTGAAGCTTTCAGCCACCAAACCCCAAAAAGCACACGACAAATCCAAAGCCATAGACATAGACAACTTCCATTCATTCGATGTCCAACAAAAACAATACAGAAGCTTCCAACAGATTCAGTTTCAATAACCCCATCTCTTCAAATCCGCCAAAAGCTTCATGGCTATGATGATTCAGCAGCCATGGCAGCTGCTGCTTCTCAATCTCAACTTGTTCTTTGTTTTTTGCTTTTATGGTATTTTTGTCCTTCCTCCCTGTCATGGCCAAAATATTGAAACTTTCTATCCATTTACAGCTCTAGCTCCAGCTCCAGCTCCAGCTCCAACACCACAGATTGCTCCAATCTCTCCTTCATTGCCCCCGCCAACACAAGCAAAACCGCAGCCACTGCCAGTGCTGCCAGCTGCGCCACAAAAGTCTTCATCCAATGAGAGTTTGATTGCAAAGGCAGTGGGCGCAACTGCAGCTTGCACTCTGGTGGTTTCTGGGTTGCTTTTCTTTTTAGTCCAACGGTTCGTGGTTGCAAAGCGGAGAAGAAAGATTAATGGTGGTGGCAGTGGTACTAGTAGCACAGGTTCCCAAGGAGGCCGGCCTCAGCCTCCTGTCGTGGATCGCAATGAGTTTGCAAGATATGATGGAAATCTTAAGGGGTTCATTGTTGATGAGAATGGCCTGGATGTGCTTTACTGGAGAAAGCTTGAAGAGAGAAACTCAAAGAAGAGTTTCAATAAGGAGGTTTTGCGCAATCCCAAGAATGGAGAAGAAATTAATGGTGATGGTGATGATGATGATGATGCTGAAGGGATTAGAAGGAGAAAGCATGAGCCTATACAAGAAGTTCCTCTGCTCAGAGGAAAGTCTTCATCATCCCACATCAATGATGTATCAGAAGTAAGTGATCCGAATCGAATTAGATCAATGGCTCTCAAGGCTGTTGAGAAATCAGAGCCAGAAGTTGAGCTAACTATTCGATCATCAAGTCCTCCGCCTCCCCCTTCTCCACCACCAACACCGCCGCCACCACCTCTGCTGCCTCCTTTGCCAATTTCAAATAAGAAAAGCCCCGCAGCACCTCCACCTCCTCCACCACCATCAACAATTGCAGCTATGAATAGTTCTGCACCGCCGCCCCCTCCACCACCAAAGCCTAAAGCACGTAGTTTGAACGCCCTGTCAAAACCGTCTACGGGGCCAAAAGGAATGGAGGGTGATAGTAAACCAGCAGAGTGTTCATCAGGAGCAGGAAATGGTCAGGTAAAACTGAAGCCACTGCATTGGGACAAAGTGAATACTAATAATACTCAGCATTCCATGGTCTGGGACAAGATTGATGGTTCATTTAGGTAATGATAAAAGTTTAATTTTACCAAGATTTATATGCAACACTTACCCCAATTGTATTTGGTTTTGAATATTCTGAAACTAACAATCTTGCTACTTTCAGATTTGATGGTGACCTTATGGAAGCTCTTTTTGGATATGTTGCCACCAACCGGTTGTCCCCCAAAGAGACAGCAACCAAGTGAACCCAAGAGGCACCAACGTTGGTCCATCACCACAGATCTGTATCCTAGATGCCAGGAAGTCCCAGAACATTGCAATTGTTATAAAGTCATTGACCATTTCTCGCAAGGAAATCCTTGATGTGCTCATGGAGGGTAGAGGTCTAAATGCAGAGACTCTTGAAAAGCTTGCTAGAATTGCCCCAACTGAAGAAGAACAATCGCAAATCCTTGAGTACAATGGAGATCCCACAAGGCTTGCCGATGCCGAATGCTTCCTTTACCACATTTTGAAAGCTGTCCCAACCGCTTTTACTCGACTTAATGCCATGCTCTTCAGATACAACTATGACTTGGAGATTCTGAACCTCAAGGAGTCTTTACGAACACTTGAACTAGGATGCAAGGAACTTCGAACGCGAGGACTGTTTATGAAACTGCTAGAGGCAATTCTCAAGGCAGGAAATCGCATGAATGCAGGAACTTCAAGAGGAAATGCACAAGCTTTCAACCTCAGTTCTCTTCGAAAGCTATCCGATGTTAGGAGCAGTGATGGGAAAACTACTCTTCTTCATTTTGTTGTCGAAGAAGTAATTCGGTCTGAGGGGAAACGGTGTGTTATCAACACAAATCATAGCTTGAGTCGGAGCAGCAGCCAGAGCCATAACAGAAACTTAAGTTCTGAGAATCTAAAACCAAAAGAGGACAGAGAGAAAGAGTATATGATGTTAGGATTGCCTATGGTTGGAGGCATCAGTGCTGAGTTCTCTAATGTGAAGAAGGCAGCTGCTATAGATTATGACAGCTTTGCAGGGACATGCTCAGCTCTCACAACCCGTGTGGCAGAAATTAGAGAACTTGTAATCCAACGTGAGAACAATGGTGGTGGAAGATTTGTAAGAGAAATGAAGGCTTTTCTTGAAGCAGCCGACGAAGAGCTAACGGTGGTGAGAGAACAGCAGAAAAGTGTGATGGAGTTAGTAAAGAAACAACAGAATATTATCAAGCAGGGGCTTCTAAGGATAAAGGGGCACACTCATTTCAACTATTTGTCATAGTTAAAGATTTTCTAGGCATGGTGGATCAAGCATGTGTTGAAATTTCTCGAAATATACAGAAGAGGAAGACGGTGACAACAAGTTTAGGAACATCATCAGCAAACTCACCACCAAGGAACCCCGTAAGGTTCCCAATCTTACCTAAAAATTTCATGTCAGGAAATTCTAGGAGCACTAACAGTGACTCAGATAATGATTTCTGAATTGGATTTTAAAATGTATATAGATTTCAGAAGGCACAATTACAATCAGTACATAGCTGAGTGATTTTTCAAAGTTTCAAGTGTATTCAAAACCTTTGCAAACTTTCAGTCAATAGCTCGTAGTGTTGGTCTTCTTCTGTCTTTCCCAGTAATGCCTACATGCGTTTGATCCACACATATTTATTCTTTCAATTATTCTTTGGTCTGAGATTATGTTGTAATCATATAGTGTCCAGATTTCTGCAACCAACTATAAGATCTCCATGTAATTTTAATATTTCCCACAGTTACATCCTTTCATAGGCAATAAGTACAATGATGTGTACATAACATATTCTAATTCTGATAACTATTTGGGATAAGTAGAGTAAGGAGACTAATTTGGCAACGAATGGCAGCAAAGGTAGGTCTTGTCTAGCCATCGAGATATACAGTTTTTCACTCCTCATGATCATTTTGTCATCAGCTCAGCAATAATATTTAAGCATGCACCCTTGATGAGAACCAATTCCTTACACATATTTTCTCTTGTCTAGCCTGTGAAGATGTGTTTCACTGTAGATTAAGTGTGACGTTTCAGCCTAGCAGATTCGGTTGCCGATGGGTTTCATTCTTGGAACTTTCCTACATATAAGTTCACATTAATTATGGAAAGAAAAAAAACCTCAAAACGAATTAACCACACAAATAGCTCCAGAAATGCAGCAAAGTAACTCATTGTACAGATTGAAATGCTTGTGTTAAGGCATACATACATCTTTCCTTCTTGCACATGTGCATTTAATGTGTTAAACTTATTATATTTTTGCATATGCATAACAACCTTTAGTTTTTATACTTGTTCTGAAGAGCTCAACAAATGGGAGGCTTTAGACTTTAATGCAAAGTAAGCCCCTAAACCTGGCTTAAGTTAGACATGAAAGCTCATTTGTGACACAAGGAACTTCGCAAAAGAATGATAGATCTACTCAAAATATACAAAATGGAACAATTGATCTTATGCCATAAGATAAAACCACAATTACGCTATACCTTTTCTGAAGTACTTTTTGACATTTTTTGTCCGCGGTATGAACCTGGCATGGGAGTAGTCTTAAAATGAAGACTATGTCTCAGCTTTTTTATCTCTGCTTCGTTTTGACCCTGTGGCAAGCATACAGTTCTTAGAAATGACATTTTCAACTTTTGTAGTACTTATGATATAATTCTATTTCTGATGAGTTATATAGCAAGTCATAGGCTAATATGCTCCTTAAAAGAATAGTTATTTGTAAGATATACCTTTGACTTCGGTTGGTAGTGCAATCTCTCTGCCTCTTTGGGATTGGATTTTGCCTCCTTTCTTTTATCTACTCTTTCATCATTTCTCAAACCAAAAGATGATGGAGCAGCCTTAGGTGTTCCCTTTCCTAGAGACCTATGACAGAAAAATTGAATGCAAACTAAGTAATTCAGACACCAAATAAAGTTTAAATCCACAATGTGAAATAAGATGGCATATAACATGCAAAGCGTGATATTATGCAAGTATCAGATGGACAGAGGATGTATATTACAAATACATCTGTTGGCAGTCAAATGTGAGTTTAAGACATTACCCTCCATTCTCTTTTGGCAGGAGCACTGAAGTCGAAACCCTTGATTCTTTCCCCTTTGTAGAGAGCTGCTTGATAATGAAATTTCCACAATAAAACTTTGATGTTAGACACGCTAACGCAAAACTTACATATAAAATAAAAAGAAAAACACTAAGGTAGCTGGTCATTTCTTCAAACAATAAAACGTACTTAAATGACAAACCTGCGTTGGTGTTGAAGATTTCTCTTCACTGGAGGATTTCGGTTGGTTGTAATTGTTTTGAAATGTCTTAAATGCTCGTCTGACAATGTCCTTATCTCCCATATTCTCCATAATGAAAGATTTTCTGGCGGTTGTCAGTGAAGCTGAATCAGACTTTGCGGGATCCAAACTCCGTGACATGTGCAAAGACTTAGGAGGAACTTTCTTGGTGTCCTCAATGGAAGGATTTTTGCTCCTAGGTAAAGATGAAGTGTTGCCCATTTTTACTGAGGATCGTGGTGCAGGTGTTGCAATAGAAGTTGATATAGACTTTGACACTCTTGGGGTGGAAGTAGATATAGGCTTTGACACTCTAGGAGTGGAAGTTGATATAGGCTTTGACACTCTAGGAGTGGAAGTTGATATAGGCTTTGACACTCTAGGAGTGGAAGTTGATATAGGCTTTGACACTCTAGGGGTGGAAGTTGATATAGGCTTTGACATTCTAGGGGTGGATTTCTGTGGTGTTTTAGTTATTTGTGGAATTGGTTTCTTCTTAACATTTGCCACATTTCTCTCCTTGCTCACTCCAGTAGTAACCTATAAAACAGAAAAATGCAAAAGATATAGGACATCAGACTTCAACCAAACAAGTTCTGAGATTATGAGATATAGAACACGGTATCTGCGGATAAGTTTTCCAAAATGGATTAAAGAAATAATTACTTCACCTTCTGAGATCCCTTCCGAAGAAGCAATCTTGGTTTTTCCTCTTTTTCCTCTTTAACTTCTGGAGCCTTTCCTATTTCATTGTCCAAACTCCTTGGAATTTCCTGTATCCCTTCAGACTCAGCAGGGACATTCTCTGCTTCTTTCTCTAAAATAAGTTCCTCCGGATTGTTCAAGTTGGGACTAGCCGTAACGCTATCAGTTTCTTCTTTCTCTCCCTCTGTCAATGAGCTTTGACATTCTATGGTGATAACATCATCCTCCTTGAGATCATCCACATGAGTACTAATTGTCTCATTGTCAAATTGGTTTCTTGATAATTTGCTTGGGTAGTACTTTGACTGTTAGTTAAATCAATTTCAAAATGTGTCCCGCAATCGATCTGATCTCCACCCTGCTGATCATCTGACCTAAAGGGATCATCTTGCATTTGCTTCTCTTGCTCCAGAAGCTCCTGAGCTTTCCTAGCAGCTATCTTCTTGTAATGGGCTTCAAAATAGGCCCTTTTCTGAGCCACTGAACCAGGCGTCGCACACTTCTCAACTTCTTCCAAGTACTTGTTTGGTGAGAATGTTGACCATTTCTCCCAAGACAGTGAATCATTCTCAAACCTACCGAACGAAACCGACACTTCCAGAGCAGGATTTGAAGAATTTGAAGCAGCTGCCTCTCCCACCTGTTTTATTCAACAGAAAAAACCAAAAATCCAAAAGCATATTCTGAAGCAAGAACAGAGACAACAAACTAGCAAATCTAGCAATCATATATTTTGAATCAATCAGCAACCCACAAAACAGAAGGCTCAAAAGACAATAATTGCAAACAAATTTTACAGATGGGTCGCTTTTTTTATCAAATCTAGGGACAAAAAAGTGTACCTCATCAGCATCATTTGCGAAATCTACTATTGATTCACCCATTAGCTCTGCAAGGAAGGGGTTCAAATGTTGAGCTACCAGAGAGCTACACAGCAGGACACAAACTGTGTACAGCACGGGGCTTTGACTAGCAGGGGGGCATATCACCAATCTATTGGATCACGCAAGAAAAATATACCAAGAGTAAGAAAAACCAGAATGGGGACAAAAAGAAAAAGACTTCAAAATTGCAAGAAGAAAAGAATTTTATAAATAAAAACATGTCCATGTGTTCTCCTCTGCTCGTTTTCTAGAGTAGCATTATCACTTAACCTTTTTCACTGTTTCTGGCACTTCTGGGAACTCCTACAATGATAAAGCCAATCAATCATCAAAACAAGACAATGGTATGGGAGAAAATTAAAAAAAGAAAGCTCAAAGCTCAAAGCTGACCCACAATATGTTTCCAAAAAAGATTTGGCTTTTACTAGCACCATTCTGAGATGAAAAGGTTAAACAGTTAAGGACTTTCTCTTTCCGAGTCTCAAGTACATGATGAATCGATGACTGGAAATTTGGAAATCAAAAACACACAGCACATGATGTCAAAATGGAAGTGTAATTAATAGGAAAATAGAGATTAGTTGGGTTATCATGAGGGTTCAACAACAAATTAGAGTGGTCATATTGAATAAACAAAGATTAAGACTGTCAAAACTTATAATATTTTTTTGGTGGGAAAAAAAGTAGTAATAATGATACCTGTGGAAATTTCTCCCTTCGGGGCTTCAGAGATACACCAAGAAGTTGAAGACAGTGATCAGATGGGGCATGAAAATATGGTAGATGGACCACTTTAGAGTGCACTACAGTAAACAAAGACATGATAGTGAAAGTTACATGTGACAGGTTTCCAAGCCTCTAATCTAAGATCTAAAATTAATAATTATCTTAGCTACTTGGGCTGCATGTGGTCCCTCCCCCATTCAATTTTCAATTGGTTGAACCAAACTATACAAAAGAAAACAAGAGTAAAACGACGTCGTTTGAGGATGGTGAACATATGGGCCCTAGGGGCCAAGCCCAATGAACCTACTGATGGCAAAATCACAACAATCGGCATCGTTGAGCCTTTCTGGGCTTTATCTCTCCTTTAACTTGCCTTGTATTTTCCTCCTCTATTGCCCTCTAAGCTACTCAATCCTCTACCCCAATTAACCACTAATTTTGCAAAGCATCATTGTCCCACATTCTCTCTATATATTGCTCCAAACTTTGCTTACTGGAAACCACACAACCAAAATGAGAACCAATTCTTCCTTTGTCCAATTATTTGTCACCCTAGCTCTTCTATTGGGCCAGGCCAAACCCGACCCGGATCCGCTTCAGGATTACTGCGTAGCAGATACAAAAATTCCCCAGTCATTTTACCTCAATGGTGCACCCTGCATCAATCCAAAGCTAGCAAACTCATCCCATTTCACCACATCTGTCCTATCCAAGGCAGGCAACCCGAAAGCTAACCCTTTCGGGTTCAACGCCACCCTGACGAACACGCTTAACCTACCCGGGGTCAACACATTGGGCCTGACCATGGCCCGGGTTGACATAGCGGCCAATGGGATGGTGCCTCCACATTTGCACCCAAGGGCCTCAGAAGTCGCAATCTGCCTCAAAGGGCTCCTTCTTGTGGGCTTTGTGGACACCTCCAACCGTGTGTTTACCCAGCAACTGAAGCCTGGTGAGTCATTTGTGTTCCCAAAGAGCCTCGTTCATTTTCTGTACAACTACGACTCCGTGAACCCAGCACTGGTCTTGGCCGGGTTCAGTAGCCAGAACCCTGGTGTACAGATTGTTTCACTTGCCACCTTCACTTCAAAGCCTTCAATCCCAGTTGCTATATTGAAGAAAGCTTTTCAAATTAGTGACCAGGACGTTGCCAGGATTCGAAAGAACTTGGGAGGTTGAAAATATTCATTTGTTTATTATACATGTTGCTTTTGCATATATGGCTGCGAGGAAAGTGGAAAGTTTAGCTTAGGTTTTCAAATAAATACACATGCCAACGGTCACATATATTACTATATAATGTAATTGTTTAAAGAAACCATACATATGTATAATGGATGGAAAATATGAAGCATGTGTAGAAATGGAAAGAATAAAGTGACTGGATCCCAGCTCATTTACTCTGCTCAGTCTCAGTGCAAGTTGCAATTGTAGTGAAAAAAACAATTGGTTTTACTGTGCACCTCTTCGCTGTCACGAAAACAAGAAAGGGCTTCTTTTCTATGTTTGGTACCCATCATCACAAAGCAACCAAATTTTTGTCAGCGCTTGGCAGTCAGTCACTTGCAAGATTAACTTGGGTAAAAAGAAACTTTCTGGTAATAACTTGATTCTTAGCAGTAAAAAGGTCAATCTTTATGAACCAAGTTTGAGATTTTTTTTTCATTTAAATAAGCTATAGTCTAAATTACAAAGGGAATGATTTCTCACACATACTGCCATACTGGTGTGTAAATCAACGTCATTTTTCATTTAGCTAAACTTCGTTGACAAAACCCTTAACCCGGAACCAAGTTTGATTTTGTTAAGCTAAAAGAGTTGGATGGAAAAAGTCCAATTTGAAGAATAGAAGCTTCAACTAACGATGTTCTTAGGAAATTTAGGGAATTTGGCAGCAGCTTATTGGCGTCTCTCTCTCGGCATCATGGCATGAATACGTGGTACACAAATTTGCAAAAGCCTCCCAAACCACCCATTTTAATATCTTTTGTTGACGCACATCTTCCACCAGAAACCGAATGAGCTTGCAACAAGAGTTTTGAAGCTCCTCCTCCTCTCCAACCCCTAGCCACTCAATTAATTAAAATATATCATCTTTATGTTAGTATAAATTAAAATTATGAGTTATATAAAAATTGGAATTATAATTGGGTTGAAAATAACAAAGAGTTTTGTGTTGTGTCAGGCTGTGAGTCTGTGACGCTCCCCAGAAAGGTCCCAAGAAAGGTCCGTGAACCCATTCACATATCACATTTTTACTATCTTCTTCATTGTCATTCATTTTCTTGGGGTCACTTTCAAATTTGCAATAATGGCAGTAATGGCGAGTCAGTGAAAGGGAAGAGCATACACCAAAAACACAGCCTGTAAATAATTAAGATGAACAAAAATAAAAGAATGGAACTTGAAATGAAAGAAGCAAGAACAAGTGTATGATATTCTCTTCCCTCTTAAGACCCAGATTACATACAAAGAAATCATTCAATCGCCAAAATGGTCCCAAGAATTGGAACCTCCAAAATAGGAATTGAATTGAATCTGTCTCATATATGTAAAGCACCAAGAAAATTCAGAAACAAGAACTCCAGTGAAGAAGAAGAAGACACATGAATTTTCTCCAACAATTTCACCTAAAATTCAACCAATCTGTACATGGCCCTATGGCTATCAAAAGAATAGAATCTCTGAACAATGTATGAAAGAATCATAACCCCGCCTCATGACAAATAGCTGGAAAACCCAATCAATGTAGAAGCAGAAATCGACGATAAGGCTTGGAACTTTGCTGCGTTGTGATGACGGAGCGGCTTGTAAAGATCGTAAGGCTCCCAAAGATGGTCAAGCGGACAAGGGTTCTTGGATTCAAGCCTAACCCAAGGCTTGCCTTTGCCACTCCAATGTAGCAAACTCACTGGACCAGGGTGAAGAGACCTGCAGCTCCCTCTGACATTGTCGCCGCCAAGCCCGTGCTGGTTCCACCTGTGGTCTATAGCCTCCACGTTCCCGGCAAAAACCAGCAAAAATGGTGGCAAAGAACCCAAATCGTAAATCCTTCTCTTTCTCTGCAACTCCATCCAGTTCTCAATCCTCTTTCTGTAATTTCCCTGTCTCCACCTCACCAAGTCCATCACCATCACCCCTGTGTTGAAGTAGCAGGGTCTTCTTGAGGAAAAGACCCGGGAAAGAACCGGGTCGGACCAGAACCCGTCGGTGAAATACTTAGTGAAGTTGGCGTGGCAGTACTCCGGGGCTCCGATGACCCGCAACCCGGAGAGAGAAATGTTCCAGAGCTTGTGAATGTCGTCGACCACCAGCACATCCGAGTCCAAGTAAATGACCCGGTCCACGCACCGCCCCAAAATATCGCCCAGGTAATTTCTGGCGTAGTTGAGCGGGTTCTCGAGCGCCTGCCGAATCGAAGACGAGATGAGATTAATGACGGTGTCTTCCCGGAAGATGTAGACCTTGAAATTGAGGGAGGGGAAGGTGGATCGGACGAGTTGGGTCAGGACCCGTGGGCTCGCCGGGTCGAACTCTGCGGCGATGAAGTGGAAGAAGACGTTCTCGGGGCAAGAAGCGTGCTTGAGAACCGAGTGTACGGCAGCCACGGAGCCTCTGAGATACTCGGAGTCGAGAGTCATGGCGATGTGGACCAGGGAAGGGTCGCAGGAGGACACCATTTCCTTGTTCATCGAAACGGCGCAGTCTGCTCCGTTACGGTAATCCGGCGCCTCAGAGAATCTCGCCCAGGCGGCGGAGGCGAGTTCGAAAGCATCTCCGGCGTCGATCGCCCTGGTCGGGAAGGAGCGAATCCCGATGCAGAACGGAGGGAAGAGGAGGGAGATACTGAGGACGAACAAAACGGCGGCGTATAGCCGGAATGGGAGCATTGCTCGCCGCTTTGGGAGGAGAAATGGGATTTGTTTGTTGTGTTTTCTTCTTCTTCTTCTTCTTTTTCTTTTTCTTTTTCTTTTTCTTTTTTCTTTTTTCTTTTTTGGGTGGAGAAAATGAATGTTGTAACAGCAATGGTGGGGAATGGTGGGGTGGGTGGGTGTGTGTGTGTGTCTGGGTGTCTGGGTGTGGAGATAGTTATTATAGAGAGAGAGAGGAAAGAGACGGTTGTGGAGATTTGCCATTTGTATAATAACTAATTAGGCAAAGAAAATAATTAATAGGCAAGGTCAAATGCAATCAAATCATAATGTGAAAATAAGGAAAAAAAACAAACAAAAAAGGAAATAAAAAAGCCAGACACGCTCGTTGTTGCAAAAATGCGTTTCAAAAGAAAAAAAAACGAAACGCGGAAATAGAGACAGAGGAACGGGTTCGAGAAGGAGGAAGCATCTCCTCCTCCCTCTGTTTTTCTCTCTGTTTCCATGATTTGACTTCACTTTCAAACCGCTGCTATATAGTATAGATTTCTGGTTTTAAAAAAACGACGTCGAAACTCTGTAGCAACGATGCTAAAGATTACCCATCATTTAACAAATTCATAATTACAATTTTATAATTATTTTATTTTTCAATCTTTATACAATTAGAAAATCAAAAAATAATTTTTAAAAATGGTTATCCACTAAATTAAAGGTATTCTGGGAATATTTGTAACTGCGTTAAATTAGGTAACAATAGCACCGTACGTACATGGAAATTATTTGGAACAGTGTGTGCATGAATGATGAATTCCAAATTAGGATTAGGGTTGCGCTAATGAAATTAATTTGCATTTATGTCTAACAACCCTCAGTTTTGCTCCAAATTTGCAGAAGAAGAACCAAGGGGTTGGGATTTTGATTTAATGTTAATGGGGATGCTAAATATAAATAAATAAAAACTAAATTTAACAAATAAAGGGATACGGATTGATTTCATTAATGCATTATTGAAAACTCCGGTGTCAGAATTAATACTCATTTAACTCTCTCTAGAATCACAAGTCTTTTCCTTGTCACCGCCCAACAAGCCTTAATTCTCATTCATTAAAGATTGATCGTGTGGACAATTGTACATTAATTTTAACGATTTTCTTTTTCTTTTTTTAAATTCATACGCACACAATAAAACTAGCAAAAACCATCTAGCCATTGAAGTCATTACAAATGTGTACCGCCATTATTATTTATGCGAATCGAATATGAAACCTCATCCAATTGAATATAAACAATACAAATTTATAAATAAACCCAATCCTAAACATGTATTTATAAATAAAAAATTAAACACTATTTAAACATAGAAACACACCCAAAATCAACTCCAAAATCAACAATTGTATATTTTTTGGGTGTGTTTATCAATGAATTTTGAGTGTGTGTAATGATGAGTTTTTGGTGTGTTTATAAAGTGTTTTGGGTGTTGGATTTTTTATAATTTCAGCCCCAATTTTAGGTGTTTTAGTGAAACTCCCTATAAACAAATACCATTATATGAAATACTATTATTTATTTATTTGACAACTAAGCAAATGAGAAAATACCTCGTAAACAAAAAAACTATGAAAAAAAAGATAGAAACGAAGTGCCAGGTCAGAGAAAGCAGCAAAAGACAGCTCAGCAACATGGGCGAGGAAATAACGTCCCTTTTTTTTCGTGGCAAATTTGGGACAAAGCTTATATTCTTCGCCTCCACTGACCAAATGCCAGCTGTTTACTGATGCTGTTGGCGGCTGCGTTCAGCCTGGCAATAAGCATCTCTTCTCTGCCTCTGCCTTTTTAGCTTATGCCCCACGTGCCCCCACGTGCTCCCAAGTTCTCCACTGCCTAATAATAAGTAACAAGTGGTGTTTCTGTTTCTCCTTTTTTCGTTTTATTAAACGCACGCATATATATATATATATATGCATTTATACAAAAACCTTGCTGAATTAGTCAAATTAAGATTATTTAATTTTCAAACAGTATTGTAATTAAAATAAAATTTCCCAAACTGTATGGAGCATGTTATGTTGGTCGACTATCAATCTCTGATATATTTAAATGATATTTTATATAATAAATAATTAATACTATAATTTAACAATGTAACGTCTCCAAAAAAAAAATGTTTTTCTTATAGTAATATAAGTGTCTAGCATCTCTGCACTATAACCTGTACCCTTGTTTTATTCATAAATCTAAGGTGTGATTAATGATTTCCACCTACCATGATCCATGATCCATGACCTGCTTTTTTACCTAGTGAAGAGAAGACCACATCAAACATCACTTTCATGCATCCTACATATTCTTTATCATATTTATTTATTTATTTATGGATGGCAACAGATCGCTAACATTGGTGTATATATGGTTGTTTTAATTTATTTAGTCACATAGACGACAGATTGTACAGAGTATAAATTATACCTCAATCAAATACATATGATATAGTGACAAATGAATGCATGCCAAGTATGATGTAACGAGTGATGTGACAATTCCAAGTACAAATTTCCTCTTTAATATTTAATACTTTTTTAAAGAGTTAGCTGGAGTGAGATGATTCGTTTGCCTATGACTGCTTATCACTAAATTGGCATAAATTAATTATATGTTATGAATTACCGACACATGACAAATAAGATGGTGGGACATGCCATTCGAGAAAACAATATATTAAATAATCACTTTTATGTACAAAATTAGGGAAAAATGACCAGATTTAGAAGAAACAAAATTGCTCTAATTGGACAATTCGGATATGCTAATTATTAGAAACACCAAAGTCGACGGCCAAAATAATTAACTTCTTTACTTAGTTGAGTGGACGCCAAGAATTAGACAATTCTTTGCTTGTGTTGCTCTAGAAGTTTCCGTCTCCACAATTATTGTATCAATTCTTTACTTTTAATGCTGCATTATTGCTCTTTTTTTCACTTTCAATTTCGAACCTTTTTATAAAATAATAAAATAAAATTTCCATGGATTCGTCCTTTATACGTGTCAAAAAGCATTGCTTGTGCTGCACAAAGAAGAAACCAGGAAATTCAATCAAAAAAGATGATGCCATGCTTAAAAGTTCAAACCATACTTAACAACTAAGCATTTGGTTCAAACTGACGTAATACTGCCCTACTATACACGCAAGAAACACAATGAATTGATTTATATTTTGTAATATGTATGGCGCTGGTTCGTCCTATATTACAATTTGCTTTGTAAAGAAAATGATACTTGAATTTCTATAGCTTCACACAAATAAAATCTTGATGCATCTTCAAAGTCGTTGACGTAATATTATCGTATCATACAGTTTGAAAAGTCGATATGACTTACAATCAACACCTCACCTATAACATCAAAAATGACAAAAATAGTTTTTACGTGGTAACGTCTTAATTGTATAAATTTAAATCAAAATATAAAATGCAAAAAGGCTCAGGGTGGTACGAAGTCGTATTCATAATCCATTGAATCGCAACTTCGCAATGTATATATACAATTTTTTGTTTTCAGAAAAATGAAGCGATAATATATAAATAGATGTGGAATGGGTCCGTGAACTTTTCAACCACAAAGCTGTCCATCAAATTTTAAATAATAAGAATATGGCCTACCCAATCAACACCTTCTGCTTGACCAAACAAAAATCAACACCTTCTGATAGAGTCATACTATTTTATCATACACGACACACAGGTATTTGTAAATTGTAATTTAAATATGGAGTGAGGTGGTAAAAAAAGGATTAAGAATTTAAATATTGGAATTAGGTTGATTGAGATTCCGGGAACCATCCAACTTGTTTTAATTAAATTCATTTAAACCCACACAAGTTTACGAATTCCTCCTCCTCCTGGCTAATTAATAACTTATCAAAAGCTATTTTCTTTTCTAGAAAAATACAGTATTTTTTATAATTAAGAATAAAAAAAATCTGAAAACGATTCTAGAAAGACAGTAGTTGTTTTTCGGTTTGCTTTGTGTTTTGAGGGTTTGAGTAAGAGAAGCAGTTTTAACTGTCATTTTTAACAGACAAATCCAGAAAGCTTTTGAAAATATGCTCTACTTGATAAAGGTTTGCCTAAAGTGCTGAGGTTGTGGTTTTGGAATGGGATTCTCCTCTCTCAAGATAAAACAAAAATTAGTGTCACAACAAATCACAATTAGCTGCTGCTGGGCCCTGCAAACTCAAATATTATATCCAGAATGTCTGCTTTCGTTACAGGATTGATGATCTAGAAAGCCAAATCAGACGGTCAGGATTGGTGTGGAAAATCGCCAAGTCAGAGTATAAGACTGTACACAACAGCGGATGAAATGAAAGGATAATTGAGTGCACGTGTGGGAGGTAGGTTTTTAAGTTAAAAAAATTTAGAGCAAACAAAAAATGATTTTGTCGAATATTAGTTAATTAATTAATAAAATTAAAGAAAAATGGAAGGTGCGGAAGTTTGGTGGCAAAAGTGGGGGGTTGCATTGGATACTCTGAACCTCTGACGGTGGCCACAGCACTCAACCAAAATTGAATGATGCAACAACCACACAGTGTCACCACCAGGAGTTGGACAGACGAACGGTGCCGTTTGTACACAATCACATCACATGTGACTTTTTCAATCTGCCACGTGGATATATGCAATGCAAACGAAGCCATCGTCATTTGTCACCCAAAAAGGAAGAAGAAGAAGAAGAAAATTTGTAAGTGTTTTTTCTTGCTCGCCCGTGAAACAGCGTGTTTCTCGCTGCTCCTTGTTTCTTTCTTGAGAGAGAGAGAGAGAGAGTTCACAGATTTCATTCATATCGGGGGATTCATTTGTTTGTTGTTACGTAAAGGACTTGAGATTTTTCAATTTAGCATGAACAAGTGGCAACCGCTGCAAAAATGGTGTTACTTTCGTTTCTGGTGCACGGCAGTTGTCTTCTTCTTGTGATTTGAATTCGGTGTGGCCTAATTGTTGTGTGCTGCTGCCTTTTGGACCACCATCGATATAAATTATAATAGGCACAACACGAGAGAGAAGGTATCTCAATGCACGTGTAAAGTTCGACTGCCCAAGATCATTTATCACATCCTTTACAAAAGAACAGAAAGAAAAATAACGAAGATATCAAGAAAATAAACTGGGAATTGATTGGATGATCAAGCATCACGTAGACGACTTTAAGAAAGTAAAAAAAATAAAACGAAATGACCAATATAATCAGAGATTACTTTCAAAGTTGATATGTAATAATCGAAGCTTATATAAAATTTTTAGAAAAACACCCTAAGCAGATTCAAGATAACAATTCAACTCCGAAAAAACTAATTTTATTGCACCTAAAGCAAATACTCTTAGCTAACCATCTTCTTACCAACAATTTTGTTGTGATTTTAGATTTAAGAAAATTAATAGTAAAGAAAAAATAATTTAGAACTTTTTTAGTCCGAGCATAAGCAACATAGTTGTAACTCAAGAGCAGGTGAAATGAGATGAACAAAACTGCCCTGCAAAAACCTAATCCAATAATTGTATGGCATGTAATGCCAGTTAATAAGCTTCAATTACAACTGGGAGAAACAAGAAATCAAATGTCAAAAACACATCCAACATCCAACGGGCATTGAGCAGAAACATAACTCTGGGAAAACATGCAGATTTCCCTTGAGCAACTGGGTAATATTTTCAAAGCAATCCCAAAAGTGTATCATTGTAAACCTCTCAAGTCTCGAGATCAACTACATTGCTTGCACAACGAGTCAACCTCTGAATACTTGTGAGAAGAATCAATATCCTATACAAAAAAGAAGGCGAACATCAAAATATATAGCCGGAAGGGATGGCCGCATATAAAAACTTCATCTTAATTTTTTTTTTTTTTTTTTTTTTTTCTTTCTTTTGGAATTGGAAGGTGTGGTTCATTTATGAGAACAAAGGGACCTTCAGGTTTGAGGGAGGGAACAATCATTGGTCATCGGCAACTTTCCACTCTAGTTTCATGGAAGCACAGTTCTGACTTCTTTCCTATCAGCTCCAAATGACTGCAATAAAACATTTATCAGTATCTATGAAAGGAAGGGTGACCGCATCAAATAAGTAGATTACATGTGAGAATTTAGCTGCAACTGCAGTAAGGATGCAAGAAAATCTTCTCAACACTAAATTTCAGTGGGAAAGAAAGAGGTAGTAGAGTTAGCAATACAGGGTCATGCACCATAATCAAGTGATACCAATCAGCCACTGACCCCCCATTCAATAAACTTGAAGTCACCCAAATGAGTAGCAATTATCTTTGTTATGTCTATTTTCTTTGTTGTTGAGTCATTTGATCAGTCTTTCAAAGCATACCCTCAACTTCTTGAAAATTTGTTAGGGAGGGTGAGAGAGAGGCAAAGGGGGTGTGATCACAGAGAGAACAGTTCTGAGAAAACAGGGGTAAATAAAGGGACAAGCCAGAATTTATCTTTTCAAAACCACGTCCATGTGGACAGATGACTATTTTACAATGCATATGCAGGCTGGATCCGATGAAGTTATCTTTACTCTCACCAAGCACGTCTAAGATATGGTTATAATTTCAATGCATAACTTCTGTATGAAAACTTTTCTCAAGTTTTTTACTACTTAAAAAAAGGGGAATAAGTTGCTAAAGCTTTTTTAAGTTTCTTATGTTACAATTCCAATTTCTATAATTTGCAGGAATGTAATCTATAATGCTCCAATGATCATGATCTCGCTTTCACCTAATAGATGTTGGACAATAACTCGACTTTCAGACTGGTTCAATAACATAGATGATCAAAATTCTTTTATACCCAGGGAAAACTAATACCAAACTTTTAAGAAAGTTATTATTGAATAAGTTCTATGACTTATAAATATCAGTAACACATCATCACACTAGTATTGGTTAGCATCAGATACCCATCCAAAGCAGTAGTGTCAACTGGCAGTAACTAAAGAAGACAGAAGCTTCTGTTTACTGCCCATGGTGATACAACATAGATACTGAATATTGTGTGCATGTCTGTGTGTTGCTGTATACAAGGGAACAAATATTACCTCAGCCCCATAGCCTTTCACAAAGATATTTGTAAAGAGTTCGGAGGGTTCTGGCATTGGGCTTTCCTGGAAACAGGAAAAACAAACATCAAAAACAGGGTCACTGAACAATATCCGGTTACAATACCTATTATAAAAGCTAAAGAGAGGTCAGATGGCTACATGCATTCAGTTAAAATTAACAAAAATAAAAAGAAAGTTTATGAAATCAAATGACCACCACATAAAGCTTCTTACTTTAGCTTTAGCAATGGCTTCATCAACTTCTTTCCTCACTTCCTTCTCAATATCCTGAAAGAAAAGAAAGGAAAAGGATAAATACATATCAGTTTTCTCAGACCCCCACAGCATCAATAAGAGAGACAGGAATGGACCATATTCTAAAATTTTCCCTCAGTTATAAAAATAATTATCCAACAAAATAGAAATGACAGTAGATAGATACAATACAGAAACCACCCTAGTTGAAGAATATACCTTTAGCTCTTTCTCAGTAGCTAGATCATGAGCAAATATCAGCTTCCTTATTCTTTCAATTGGGTCACGCTCCTAAATCATATAACCAAGTAAAATTATAAAAAGACACCTTTATGAAATTGTGGCATAATCTCCAAAATATGGAAAGGGAACAAGGTATGGAACACATAACAAACCTGTCTCACGCCAGAAATCTCATCACGTGTACGGTAGGTGCTCCCAGGATCAGACATGGAGTGCCCATGGTACCTGTAAGTGTCCATTTCAAGAATCTGACCACCAGAAGTAAGAGGACTTGTCAGGCAACAAATATCATGTAGAGCGACAACAAATTACACAATTATAACTAGTCTGCAAGTCAGAGCCAGAAAAGTTGGAAAAATCTCGCATGACTTCGCATATTACACATAACCAGACCATTTCAAAAGGCCCAAGTAATCCTAAAGGGCTAAAAAATTTATCTAACCCACAGCCTGGGTCTGAACGAAGGTATTCATCAATGAACCACATCGTGCTTCTCTTAACTACCGAAATGATGTTGAATTGAAAAAAGGGAGGAATTTTTCCCATTTAGTCTAAAACTTAGACCAAAAATTTCACAACTTTTGTCATTTGCAAAGCATTCTATTTCTCTTTCCTTTCACAGATGGCATACAAATGCTGCAAAGGCAACTCTTGAAATAGCAACTGCATTGCTTACCCAACAAACTACTAGGGTCCATATAACCGTATACCCAAGTTTATACTAGAATTCTAAAGGATCATGTATCAAATTCCTGAAGGGGTGCTATTAGAGTTGCAACTCCTAGAACTAAGAGAATAGCTCAAACAATTACTGTCAGAACTGCCCCTGGAATAGAGCTAAGACAATTTCCCTAGGGACATGATTAATTCCTCATAGACCACACGGTTGATAGCTCATTGTAGCTTCAATCTACTATACTATTAGCATACTCTAGCAGCTATGGCATAAACTGCATACAATTGCAATCACAATGCAATTAGTGGATCGCCTGCAGAAAATTCATTTGGCCTACCTAGCAACAATCATGTTTTTCTTTTATATGTGGAACTGTGAGCCAAAACGACAAAAGATTTGTTGAGTGGCCTAACATAACAGTAAGGCAATCCATGTTGCTATAGTTTGCACAAGGAATTTCAAAAAAATGTCAGACTAACAAATGGAGAAATAACTCACAATGGGTCCATTCTTCAAAGCATGCTCCTTAGCAAATTTGCATGCCTGCTTTACTGCAAACACATCCATGCCATCTACCTGAAGATTGATCACAAACCATTAGCCAAATGAAAACAAATTAATACTAGAAATTATCACCTATAATGTTTCTACCATTATAATTCGAGCGATAGAATCGATTCAGTGGATACAGCTACCATGTTTTTACCAATCACACAACCATCATTTCTTAATGTAGCTAAACTTCAAAGCAAATACATAAGCAGTAACCAATGAAATGCAACAAACAAGATTGTATCCGACCTTCAAGCCAGGAACATAATCTCCACGCTTGTAGTATGATGGACTCTTAGCTGCTCTCCACTCTGCCGTACCCATTCCATCTGTGTCAAACGCACGCCCAAATCATTCAAAATGTGTAATTAATTTTGTTTCTTATCATTAAAAAAACCAAGAAGAAACAATTCTTCCACTACTTACAGTGATTATTCTCACAGACCAAAATGGCAGGCAGATCCCAAAGCGCAGAAATATTAAGCGCCTCGAACAACTGCCCCTGATTGGCCGCACCGTCACCATACAGAGCAAACGTCACCGTTTCATCCTTGGAGTACTTCTGCCCAAAAGCCAAGCCACATCCCAGCGGAACCTGAGCCCCAACAATACCGTGACCGCCATAGAACCCAGCGTCCTTCTTGTAAAAATGCATGGACCCACCTTTCCCCTTGGAGCAGCCACCCTGGCGGCCCATGAGCTCTGAGAAAACCTGCAGAAGGGTCCCGCCGCGACCGAGGAAGGTGCAATGGTCACGGTAGGCGGTTATGATGCAGTCCTTTTTGGTAATTGCGGCCTCCATGCCGATGGCGACGGCCTCCTGGCCGTCGTATAGATGGCAAAACCCTCGGATGAGCTTGGCCTTGTAGAGCGAGTCGGCCGCGATCTCCATCCGGCGCATCAACGCCATGTCGCGGAAGAACGTCATAAGCTCTTTGGGCGTGGTATCGACGGTGCGGGACGGCACGTCGCACCTGTGGGAGGTGAAGGGGACTGATGTCTCGATCGTGAGGGTGGTGGAGTCATCAGCGGCGGATGAGATCGGACGGCGGAGAGATGGGGTGAAGGATAGGGCGGAGGTGAGGGGTTTGAGGAGATTGGAACCGGAAGATGAAGAGGAGGCGAGGCGGGATAGAGCCATCTCTGACCGTTGGATCGTTTTCCGGCTGTGTGGGATGGGAGCTGAGACTGGTGGAAGGAGGGTTTGTGGAACACTGGGCTGGGGCGGTTTGGTAGGAAAGTAGTAGGAGAGGAATCGAAAATGTTTTAATTGTTAAAATAATTAAAAATTTGTCTTAGTTGGGTACTGTCGTTATTTTGTGGCGGAGTGATTTCTTTGACTTAATAATAATTTGTATTTCCTTTCCTCTTTTTTTTTCCCCAAAATTTGTGTTCCCTTCCTACTTGTGCAGGTGTCTTGCTCTCTCTAATTTTTTTTGTTTTTTACTTTTTTTTTCAAGATTTTCATGTTTTTTTCTTCTTCTTAATTTCACTTAGCACAAAAATTAATTTTGTGCATATGTTTGACTCTAAATTTCTGTACATATTATATGCTAGGAATGCCATTTTGGGGTTTGGTGGAAGTAAGCAAAGATGTGCTGCATGTGGTTTGGTGGGTGCACATATTATATGCCTACAAATTTTGGTGGCTGGGTGGGTTCCCTTTATTTTGTTCTTTTCGCCAATATCTTACACGAAGTTTTTTAATACACAAATGAATCATGATGGCCTTCTTAGCTAAACAAATGTATTTAGATTTAATATACATATGATGCACAATAAGCTCGAAAGTAAACAAATAAAATTACATAGAAAAAAAAGGTAAAAGTTCTATGAATTTATACCCAAATTTTATTTTGATCATTCAACTAATTTTCGTACAATTTTAATTATCCTCATTCATGTCAATTCAGTTTTTCGTCTCATTATGTAAATTTAGGCACAAGCATCTTCTAAAACGGCCTAACCATCTCTCTACTACCAATTTCTCCCAAATTGACCTATCTATCCTATTTCCTTCAAATTGAAACCCTAACTCACTAAAATCCCCAAAAGGCCCAAATTCGAACCCTAACACAACAATAAAATCTAATTTTGCCTCTAATTGCTTAAAATGAACTCAAAAGTTGAATTTACCTTTGAAAAGCACCTCACGTGATTAAATTTGACGGAATAATTGAATTGCACGAATGAGAGAATTGAATGACCAAAATAGATAGCACGAATATTAGTTAAAAAATTAAAATGAAAAACCAGATATAACAATAGTTGAAACCCAAAACTCAAAAATTTCTTTCATCCTTATATTTCTTACAAATATAAATGAGAGCGCAATAGAGGCCCTGGTCATCGATTATTGGACCCAACTTGTGTACTGCTGCCGAGCTTAACTAGTTGAGAAATCTACACGTCAACGGCACCTATTTTGAACTTCCCGGTCCAAATCAACAGTAACGAACAAATGGTTCAATTCAAATCAACGGTACTTTAATCGAAAACAGTTACGCAACGGAAGCGACGTCGCATCGTCACTGTCCTGCCCACTTTCAAAATATCACAATAAAAAACGATAAGCCCACAACTGAGCTGGAGCTGCTGGGGTACCCCAAAAATCTCTCCCGCCATGGACACTCTCTCTATACTCACACCTCCTCACACCTTCACGCGCCTCCTTTCTCTCAAACGCTCTTCTTATCCCCTGCTTCACCATCTCACCCAAACCACCCATGCCCTAGGGTTTTGTTCCCCCAAATCCCCTCCTACATATTCTCCAAGCTCACTGCGTTTTCGAGTCACTTTCCAATCCCCAAGCTCAGCCTTCCCTGCAAAATCTCAACTCTCCGATGCCGACGAAGAAGAAGACGAAGACGAGTACGAAGAGGACGACGAAGACGTGGCTGCGGATGAGTACGACGATGTTCCCGGCGATATTATGTCGGACGGACTCGAACAGAGCGACGATGAAATCGATACTTCAGTGGCGGCCGCAGAGCCGTCGACTCGGCCCGAGGAGTTCAAGTGGCAGAGAGTGGAGAAGCTGTGCAGCGAAGTCAAAGTGTTTGGCGAGGAAATGATAGATGACGAAGAGCTCGCTTCTATCTACGATTTCCGAATCGATAAATTTCAGGTGAGTTTCAATTTCGAATACACCATTGAAGATTTTATGAATCGTATGAATTCTGATTTACATTTTTCTTTGATTAATTTTGGATAGAGATTAGCGATACAAGCATTCTTGAGAGGTTCGTCCGTGGTGGTATCGGCACCCACGAGCAGTGGAAAGACTCTGATAGCAGAAGCTGCTTCCGTTGCAACCGTAGCCAGAGGAAGGAGATTGTTTTACACAACCCCGCTGAAGGCCTTGTCCAATCAGAAGTTTCGAGAATTTCGGTATGCGAGTGATATTACTCTGACGAGAAAAGAATATATACATTTCTTGGTGAAGTTTATGTAAAGTTCTGAAGTAATTGGTCCTTGTAATTAGCAATGTAGGTGATGTACTTGTAATATGTTGAATTGAATTAGCTGATGCATTGTTGTAATTTCAGTGAGACTTTTGGCGACGACAATGTCGGCCTTCTTACTGGAGATTCGGCAGTGAACAAAGATGCTCAGGTTTTAATTATGACCACAGAGATCTTGCGCAACATGTTGTATCAGAGGTATAAACAACTTATTTAATCAGTCCTAGTAGCTGTAGTTTATTGATTTATGTTCTTAGTTTTGCAGTTCAACTTCTGAGTTTATTCTTGGAATAAGGGATGGTATTTCACTTTAGCTTCTTAATGCAGCGTGGGAATGGCTTCTTCTGGGGATGGACTTTTTCATGTGGATGTTATTGTCCTGGATGAAGTTCATTATCTAAGTGACATGTACCGGGGTACTGTGTGGGAAGAAATCGTAAGTGCAATTTGTTTCCAGGAAACTGCTTCAATGCCAATGATATTGTCATTGTGTTTCGTTATATAGTCTATGAAATATATCAGGTTATTTATTGCCCCAAAAAAGTTCAACTCATATGTTTGTCAGCAACAGTTGCAAATCCAGATGAATTGGCTGGTTGGATTGGTCAGGTATTTTGCTCCTTTGATGATTTAATGCTCTACATTCACTGAAAATATATTACATTTTGACACACAGTATTTTGCTCCTTTCATCCTGTTTCCAGATTCATGGTAAAACTGAATTGGTAACTTCATCAAGGCGTCCAGTACCATTGACTTGGCATTTCTCAACGAAGACTTCTTTGTTACCACTTCTTGATAAGACAGGAAAGCACATGAATAGGTACTTTGCTTCTCATTATGATTAGTTTTTGTTATTTTTATTGTATACTTAACTCTTAGTTTTTACCCAATCAAAATTTCTTGGAGATTCTCTTCTGTAATATGGAGTAGCAATGCCTTTCCATTTGAACTTTTTCGAGAAAAGATTGGACTAGTTCAGCTTTATCTGATTTACATGGTTAAGCTTCATCAGAGTTAATCTGCCAAACAATATGGAAATTTAAGGTTTATCTTGCAATTACCATGAAGATTGTCAGTATAGGACCATCCAGTAATATTTAAAGTTTACGTTTTCTTTGAATGGAACAGGAGGTTGTCAGTCAATTATCTTCAACTTAATGCTTCAGGAACAAAATCTTACAAAGATGATGGGTCTAGAAGGAGGAGTTCAAGAAGACGTGCAAGTGAGATGAGCTATGATGACAGTACTGGTAACATGTCTAGACGACCACTTTCAAAGAATGACATCAACTTAATACACCGTTCACAAGTATGATTCATGCATTAATTTTTTTAGACAAATACAAAAGCAAGCCTTGTTTTCATTTTTGTTTTGGTTTTGCTAGGGACACACTGATTGATTAGGGTTGTTATGTACCTGACCTGTGGTTGTTCCATAAACGATTGGCCTATAAATTTGACCATTTGAATGATTATTTTTTCATTTCTTTTTGCTGTTTAGGTACCTCAAATTACGGATACATTATGGCACCTTAAGTCTCGAGATATGCTGCCAGCTATATGGTTTATTTTTAGCAGGAAAGGATGTGATGCCGCTGTTCAGTATGTTCAAGATAACAATCTCTTGGATGACTGTGAGATGAGTGAGGTTCAACTAGCCTTGAAGAGGTTCCGCATTAAGTATCCTGATGCTATCAGGGAGACTGCTGTGAAGGGTTTACTGCAAGGGGTTGCTGCACATCATGCTGGCTGTCTACCTTTATGGAAATCATTCATAGAAGAGCTGTTTCAGCGAGGACTGGTTAAGGTTGTCTTTGCTACAGAAACACTTGCTGCAGGAATCAACATGCCTGCTAGGACAGCCATTATTGCATCCCTCAGCAAAAGAAGCGACGGTGGACGTACCCAATTAAGCCCAAATGAGCTGTTTCAAATGGCTGGGCGTGCTGGACGTAGAGGGATTGATGAAAGGGGTCATGTAGTGCTTGTTCAAAGTCCTTATGAAGGTGCTGAAGCCTGTTGCAAGATTGTTTTTGCTGGACTTGAACCTTTGGTGTCCCAGTTTACAGCTTCATATGGAATGGTGCTAAATCTTCTTGCTGGTGCAAAAGTTACCCATAGATCAAATGAATCACATGACACGGAAGCTTCCCAATCAGGGCGAACTTTGGAAGAAGCTAGAAAGTTAGTCGAGCAAAGTTTTGGAAACTATGTTGGCAGCAATGTTATGCTTGCTGCAAAAGAAGAGCTTACTAGAATTCAGAAAGAAATTGAGATACTGACTTTGGAAATTAGCGATGATGCCATCGATAGAAAGAGCAGGAAGCTTCTATCTGGACCATCATATAAGGAGATTGCAGATCTACAGGAAGAATTAAGAGCAGAGAAACGCCTAAGAACTGAACTTAGAAGAAGAATGGAATCTCAGAAACTATCTTCACTGAGACCCATGTTAGAGGAGTTTGACAATGGACACTTACCCTTTTTGTGCCTGCAGTACAAGGATTCTGAAGGAGTTCAACACTGTATCCCGGCTGTTTATCTGGGGAAGGTTGACTCATTCAGTAGTTCAAAGCTTAAGCACATGGTTTCTGCTGATGATGCTTTTGCACTAAACGCAGTAACCTCAGAGTTTGAATCAAATTTAGTTTTTGAACCATCATATTATGTGGCTCTTGGTTCAGATAATTCTTGGTATCTATTTACAGAAAAGTGGATTAAAACAGTTTATAAGACGGGCTTCCCAAATGTTGCTTTAGCTCTAGGAGATGCTTTGCCTCGGGAAATTATGAGTATGCTTCTGGATAAGACGGAACTGAAGTGGGAGAAGCTTGGTGAGTCTGAACTTGGTGGTTTTTGGAACATGGAAGGATCTCTCGAGACATGGTCTTGGAGTTTGAATGTTCCTGTCTTGAATAGTCTCTCTGAGCATGATGAGCTTTTGCATAAGTCAGAAGCATACCATAACGCTGTTGAGCGTTACAAAGATCAAAGAAATAAAGTTTCACGTCTGAAGAAAAAGATATCCCGTACACAAGGCTTCAGAGAATACAAGAAAATCGTTGACATGGCCAAGTTTACAGAGGAAAAGATTAAACGCTTGAAGGGTAGATCAAGACGTTTGACTAATCGAATTGAACAAATTGAACCCTCTGGTTGGAAGGAATTCTTGCAGATCAGCAACGTCATACACGAGACTCGGGCATTGGATATTAATACTAATGTCATGTTTCCACTTGGTGTAACCGCAGCTGCTATTCGAGGAGAAAATGAACTCTGGCTTGCCATGGTTCTTCGAAATAAAATCTTAATAGATTTGAAGCCTCCGGAACTTGCTGCTGTCTGTGCAAGTTTAGTATCTGAAGGGATCAAAGTTCGTCCTTGGAAAAACAACAGCTACATATATGAACCTTCTAGTACAGTAGTCGACGTGGTCAACTTCTTGGATGAGCAGAGAAGCTCTTTTTTACAGCTTCAAGAGAAGCATGGTGTGAACAAGCCTTGCTATTTGGACACCCAGTTTTCAGGTATGGTTGAAGCCTGGGTTTCTGGGTTGACCTGGAGGGAAATCATGATGGACTGCGCGATGGATGAGGGTGACTTAGCGCGGCTCCTACGACGAACAATCGATCTGCTAGTGCAAATTCCTAAGTTGCCTGACATTGACCCGCTACTGCAAAGCAATGCCAAGACGGCGTCAAATATTATGGACCGTCCTCCCATAAGTGAGCTGGCTGGATGAATGACATTATATTCTAACAAATTGAAATTTGTAGACCAACAATTTCATAACATCATGTACTGTGCCTATTGGCCGTCTCAGAGCCGATCAAGCTCTTCCATTCTTTTTTCATCTGAAGAAAACAAGTTCAAAGTCGATATCTAAAAGAAACAATAGGTAAAGTCAACCAGAATGTAGTCTTGGGAGCATCATCTTTTATCAGCTGTAATTGTATCAGTAAAATTATCTTGTACAATCAAATCAGTTTCTACTGCGCACCATGTGGAGAGTATCTTATATGTAATAAACAAATAAATAAAAAGGTTTTTAGGTTAGATTTTTTAAGAATTTCTTTGCTATTGTTCAAGGAAAAATATGTGGTAAGAAAGTAATTGTACAAATGATTAGTCTATCCTGAAGGATCCCCAAGTGAGTTGTTTTTTCTTATTCTTTTTTGGATTCATGGATCGATATGGCTGTGTAGCAAAGCCAACCTAATCACGATGTTTTTATTTTTATATGTTTTTTCAATTTTAAAACACAATTGTTTCAAGCTTTAAGCTTATCATTGGTTCCATCACAGCTGTTCATTGTCATCCAGATTTACTGCATTATTATGGATTTCCTCGACGGAGGGCTTAAAAGAAACAAACACTGCAAGGGACCTTAGAATGGAAACCGCTCTCTGGCAAGCATTCAGTAGGACTAATTTCAGAATTTATAAAATAGTTTAGAGCCATACAAGTCTGACATAATTAACAATCTCAATCCACGCATTGCAAATACTAGACAAAAATTGCAGGATGTACAACTCGACAAAAAGTACGATTATGCACGATCTATACACAAATATCTCAGGCATATTTCAAGAATTTTTCTTCTTTTTTGAGGCCTCATTTCTCATTGACATGACATACCTACGGACCAACAATTAGCATGGTGCGAAATGAAGGTAATGGTCAATATTTAACAATTGACGTTCATACGGACAGCAAGTAAAATCAGCCAGGCTATTTTAATGACCGAAACATATAAGAGAAGTGTCCACTATAAACTTAATACGCCAGAAATAAAATAAATTATAAAAGATTAACAAAAATTATCGATGAATAAATTGAAAATGTATCTCGAGTTTACAACACAAATTACCTATATTTACATGAATGCGGCTCAAAGTGCCAACTCAAAGTATACAACTTTCGAGCCGTATCCTCCTCAATGCTTTATTTGATCGGAGAGACAGAACTACGAGAATACAAGGTAATCCCACAAAAGCTTTTTTCGCTCACAGCGCCTCAAATTTTTCGAATTTCCAGCGCCAGGGTATGTAATGTGTGCAAAATGCTACTGCAGAACCGAAAGACAAATGTATTACAAAATAGTAAGGCTTCACCTTTCATCTCAACATGTGAAGAAATTAAGTTTTGGCATTTAAACGAAAAGCAAAGAAATATTCTTTTTCCAATTGCATGGATGAAATGTCAAGTTCCGAGATTAAGAAGCTTGAGACATTCATTTTTCCGTTAAACATCAACATCTTACATGCGTCTACTGCAAGCATGTGAGTGGAAGAAAATTGGCATTAAAAACATGCAAGCAAAAAGCAAAAACCAGATAAGTACATACCATATTTACTTGATGGTCAAAATAGGGCATATCATGAGCCAGAAAACAACCGGTGAAACCGCTCTACTCTACTTGAACCATTGGAAGACCTGGCCAGCTTTTGGCATGAACTGTCCCGATGCAAAGTTTTCCTTTTCCTTTTTGTCCGAAACAGGAAGTCTTCTGTATCTAAAACGTATGAGACCTACCACATACAAAACTCTAATTGATTAACAGAAGCAGAAAACCAGATAAACAAACCGAATAATAGAAAGACAATACCCATAATGCCACTATTTAATGCAAAACATATCATATAATGCACCTAAATATAACTAGCTATTATAGCAGAGTATTAAATGAAGTACCTTGGATGAATGGCAAGCTATCTTACACTCCAAACCATTGGTGACTTTAAGTCCTTCCATGGCCTCACAGATAGCAGACAATTCATCACTACTACCATACGCACATTTGTTCCTGCAAACATCACCAAAGCATTATTAGTCATGACACTCAGCTTCCTAAACTTCGAACTCTTAATTATAGACAACATACCTCTTCAAGAAGATCCCAGACTTCTCTTTTTTGTCAGGAAGAACTGAGAGGAATTCATTGTGCAGATAAGCAGAAAAATTAGGGTCCATGGAAACAGCAGTCATTTCAGGCTTATCATGCCCAAAATCCATAAGCTGAATAGACACCCGGGTTGGTAAGGATGACTGTAAAAAAACAAATCATGATAATAAATTTAGAGAGCTGAAATTCTATAATCCTATAAAGTACTACAACTTATAATACCACATAAAGGGCCTACACATTCAATGCGATAAATGTTCTCATCATGAAGAAGAACACGAGCATTTCATGATAAACCACATCTACAAATCTTCCTGGCTTTCTTGATTTTTCAAATGCATAAAGTTGGACGAGTTTATTGTCCATCTCATCACTGGCAACTGTTTGGAGCTGAAAAAAGTACATGAAGCAGAATATTTGTGGTCAACAAAGGAGAAGGGAAAGAAACTTGAAGAAAGGGGAAAAAAAGGAAAGAAAATTAAAGGGAAACGAACCTGTTTCACAAGCTTGTAGATCAGCTTGTCTAATGTGAATAGAACATATGATTGTGTCCCAATGATGGCTCGACAATCATCCTCAAATTTTGTATTGTCAGAAGAACCGTCAAGCAAATTGTAAAGTGCATTCATGAATCTGTACCATATAATAAGGAGTTAGGAAGTACATTCACTTCAAAGTTGCAAATAAAACAAGGAGACCAAAGCAAAGGTACCTAGCATAAGAATCTGAAGGGCTCATATCATTTGAAGCCCGCCACTTCCTCTCAGCAGATGATGAATTAGTCTTTGCCGATTGTATTCTCTCATATAATGTCTGTCAAATTAGTGAAAAGGTTGGGATACAAGTATATCTAAACCAACATCCACTAAATTCAAAAGAATACAGACACACGCACAAAGGACAATCTATTGGTCAAAGTTAAGTACTTGCATAAAACCCATTAGATTAGATATGGACGGTTGAGATACAACACCCACTTTGATCCGCTATGTATCTAGGAAGTTCATATATGATCTAATGGCTGAAATGCAGTTACTTAAGTATGTAAGAAATAAACATACACATTGTGGTGTGGTAGAAGAAACCTTACTTGGTGAAGCCTAAAAAGCACATAGAACGAATCATTTCCATAGAAAACCCTAGAGTCCTTCTCCTTGTCATGTAAAGCTGGAGGAACATGCTTTGCAAGAGGCTTCACAGTCAGGAGAAAACGTTCTGAAAGTGGTAAAGATATTCCGTCTCCTTCAACATCATGGGCATCAGCCATCCCTTCAGCTTCACCTTCACTCTCTGCCTTGGTATCATGCTCATCATTGTCCCCGTCTTCCTCACGCTCTTCACGAGAACATTCCTCTCCATCACCAGACTCACTACCAGAAACATCACCATTCTCGGAAGCATTTTCACTATCCTCTGATGACCTCTGAGCGCTTTCCTCACCTTCATCGTCAGCATCAGCATCATTTTCTCCCCCAGTCTCTCCACCGCATATTTCTTCTTCCGCATGTCTGGCTTGATATTGCCTGCCAACAACACCATCCTTTGGTTTTGGGACAGCCCCCAAACCAGCTTCTCTGTAATTTGCAAAATTATCCTCCTCAAAATCTCCGTTTGGAGATATTTCACCTTCCTCTCTTTCAATCTTGAAGTGTCTAGCAGACTCTTCAAGATATCTGAGACCTTTGGTGCCTTCTCCGATTGCTCCATTTGAGGATATAACAGGTCTTGTAGAATCTCCACCCTGTGACGTCAATAGGAACATAAAAATCTTAAGCAGATATTTACCATGACAATACATAGATCAATATCCAAGACCTATCATCAGCTATAGTCAATCCAAACGCCAGATTCATGGGTAGTGAGGAATACAATCAATGGATTGACTTCTTAAAAGCTGGCATTAGACTTTATTTTATGATATACAAGTAAACCACAGATTTATTTAACCGTCTAATTTCAATTCATCAAGATTCTAAACTATACCTTCAAGATGGTAACTTTAAATATCAAGTTTATGCTCTCAATAAAATCTAAACAAGAAGGCTACAGAATTTGCCAGCAAAGCCAACAGTTTATATAGACTCTAATTTCAGCTCATTTGATAGGTATGTTGTTAGAAATCTTTCAGCTTTTACCAAACAAACTCACGAGAAGACTCAACATGCCATGCACAGTATTCCACAAATCAGTAGAAAAGTCTGCCACAACATACTGTAAAAAATCCTGTGTACAAAATCAAAAAATATACCATATGAAACTCTCTTTGTTCCCATCTTAACTAAAATGTTCAATATACATATGAACCAAAATTAAAACCATTCACACATTACAGAGTTAAATATTCTCTTACTAAACCTTCAACCATGAGTAATGAAACTATTAACAAAAATTAGTTTCATCATAAATGTAACACTGCACAGTTAACCTTACCTCTGATGAAGGTAACTCAAGCCCACCGTCAACAGTGCCATTACCTGGTCTGGATGGAGTAGGACTAAGCCCTTTCAGAAAGAAAAAATGGAGGGGTATTCAGAAATCTAGTTTCGAAAATAATAGTAAGTAAACAAAAGAAGCAATATGTCCGGTTAGTACAGATAAAAACTTTCAGTGGTAACATTCTGCAAACCTGATGAGTTTTCTTGATTAGTTCTTCCATTACTTTGCTCCAACCCAGGGGGGGATAAATTAGAATTGACTAATCTTTCATTGGAATTGTCTTGTTTGCTAACTCCAGACGTTTCATCGGCTGTAGATGCATTACTCTGCACTTTACCTTGTTGAGAGGTATTGCAGAAAGTATCACCTTTACACGCAGCACGATCAATGTCAAGGGAACTTTCATCTTTAACCCCATTAGCCCCATTTACTGCCCAAGTCCTGCAAGAGCTTGACTGTTCAGGTTGAATGCTTTCATCTCCATTTCTTGACGAATTTAACTGTTTGGAATTCGTTGCAGTAGCACCGCCACCAGGACTGCCATCAGTGTCTCCCGCACTCACACTACCATTTTTCCCAGTATGATTTTTCGCTTTCACTACATCTTCAGTATCTTCTGCACCTTGAGGCCGAGTAGGAACGCCAAGCATTGGTTCAAGGAAGGTTGTCCATATCTTCATAACTTTATCCAATTGCTCGGTAGTGCAAACTTCTCCACAAGAATACTTGATGAGTTGATACAGATCTTCATGGATTTCAGGATCAGAGTACTCAAATTCCAAATTGGGAATAATAGGTCGTCTATTTCCAGCAGCAATTGAGAGAAGAACGTCATCTTCCTTCCGCTTCTTCTCACTGATCTCTTTAATCTCCGCCAGCAAGGCTGCAAAAGTTTGTTCATATCCACGAGTGGAAAGTGGAAACAATCAATAATTCCCATTGTAAAAAGCGTGATTGCAAAAAATGGAAGAACATAGATTCTTAATAAATTAAAAGGAAACGAAAGAAAAAAGCCTGCTTTAATTAATAAAAAGAATAGCATGGCCTGCCCAAAAAGGAAGATTAGCAGTGTAGAATATGATCTCATTGATCTTTTACTTCAAGTAGCATACATAATTATAGTGGAAACTGCGATATGAAGTTTTTAGATTACCTTTTGTGCTTAAGCTCTTTGTGTCCTGTTGCTTGAAGTAGAAGCTACGATGATCAAGTGACTTGTGATAGTTCTTGGCATATATATCAGCCCAAACTTTATTAAAATCAGAACGACACCTTGCCCACTCTTCTTGCTTTTGCTTCAAACGGGTTAATATAACAGGCAAAGCTAATGGACCATTTTTTCTCAACACATCCATCACATCGAGCCCATGGTCACCATATAATCGCTCAATGCACCTCAGATTCAAAGCTAGAAAAGAAGAGAGGGGAAGAGTCCCGTCAAATATATATATATATATATATATATAAAAAGAAAAAAGATAATCAACAAATGAGCTCAGATTACATAAACAGGCATTCCTCAATTCAGTCATTAAAAAATATATAACCTGTGAAGTGTTCTTCAATACGGATTGGACTGTCCATCTTGATCGTATTGTTATTGATCTTTTCTAATAGTTCTTCAACACGCTTGGTCGTTACATTCACAGACTCTAACAACATATCCAGTTCAAACCTAAGAAAAACAATAAGAAAAATTACCCAGTGACAAAGTCAATATAGCCAAAAACTGGAAATCCTTTCAAATAATTGGTAGTGCAATGAAGGGTAAAATATAGATGCAAACAACATGCACAAGTTTCTCTATTTTTTCCATATTTACCTACCAGAAAACAAATGTCAGAAACAAAACACAGGTTTCATAATTTAAAAATCAGTATGCAATTTAAGTGCAAGATTGACAAAATAAAACCTATATGCCAATGACAATGAAGACAATTGGGGAGCAAAAAAAGAAAAACAGAGAACAGCCACATTCAGTTGATGCCTCTTGGAAACAAATAAATAAAGAGAAAATCAACGTAGATACTGAAAATCTAAGGCCAACCTATCATCCTCACAACGAAACAGGCTTTCTTCATACTGGTTTTTGCGCATGTGTTTAAAAGAGTAATCCTCACTTCCAGAAGTGACGGATACCCAATGATCATTCAATACTTCGGACGCAAGCTCCGTTCTTTGGCTAGCAGAAGGTATTGGATACTGCAAGACATATATAAATACAAATTTCTGTAAAAGCATCAAACCTCCTTCAAAGTAAACATAGATGATTATCTAAGAAAGCATCACATACATTCTTTGGAAGGAGACGATAGCTTGGAGTGCAGCGCTCACAGTTAGAGAGGTCAAGCTCATTAATAGGTTTTGCCAAGTATTTATCCTTGCTGGAAAATATAGAAATCTTCTGGCCTCCGACTTCTTTATTTCCAGAGGCACCATTTTTCTCAAGTCGATCCCTTTCTCGAGTTTCACGCTCTCTATCTTTAACCCCATCATCCCTTTCACGATCTCTATCCCTATCCCTATCCTCTACCTTCACTGATCTGGGTAAATGTCCTTCATTCCACAAGGACTCTGTGATGAATCAAGAATTAAGAGTTGATTTTCAGGTCTATAGACAAAGTACAAAACTCAAAATGCATGTAAACCTCAAATTGAATTCAGAAAAAATAAATAAAAATGGAAGCCCGTGCCAGTGCCCGAGCTCTTAAGATAAACTAAGAGGAGGATCTAACTTATTGGAACAAAAAGGGAACAAATTATGTTACGTACTTTTACTCATGACACCAGCAAGGAACCCATCTGCAGGACAGGACTCAATTAGATATAGTGTTAATCACAGTACATAGAGCAGGTAAAAATAAAAATTAGACTAAACCATTACCTTTCTTCTCACAACATGCCAAAAATTCATCAAACCCATCCATAAGATCCGGATACCTTCCAAGTAAATCACCCACCTACAAAAGCAGAAATCTACAAATTAGAGATTTTATTCTGATTTAAGTCCTTAAACAAGTAAGGAGATGATAACGGTTTACATCTATAATTCATGCACGTCTTACCAGAGACTGCAATTCGGATCTTGTAATAATTTCCTTGCTAAAAATATGGAGGCACTTCAGAAATTCCTGGTAATCATCAGGATTTCGTAACTTCTCCTTCACCTTGTCACAGTAAGCAAACTCCTGGCCATACATACCTGCCATGAGATGCAATGAGTAAAAGAAGCTACTGAAGGAACAAGAACAAACAGGCAGATAAAGTGCTCAACAAAAAAGAACGAATGTAGAATCAATACTATACTTGATACTGACACTAAACTTATGCCTGTGCAATGACCTTGGCTATCCAAGGTCTGACAGTACTTACTTCCCCCCACCCCCACCCCCACCCCCACCCCCTCCCCCTTTCTCACACACACAAGCACACAAATACATATAGGAATTACTAGATGGATAGCTTTTCTGTACTAAGTAGTTGATCTCAATAAGTTTTGGTTATTATGTAAATTAGTTCAAAAACATCATATCCTCACTTTTGGCAGAATTTTTATCATCATAAGAGGATGAAATGAGATGTTCTGCAAAGTTTTCATCGCCTTCCCCACCTGGATGCAATTGTTCAGTAGCCAAGTCTTCAGTCCTACGAGCAGATTTCCGTTTGTGGGGAAAATGTTGCATGTTGAAGTCCCTACTGCCATCATGGTCGAAATCTCTATCATCCCGGTCACGTTCTCGTCTTTCTCTATCTTCTCTCCTCTCCTTCTCCTTCTCACCACGCCTCCTTTGCTCTTTGTCCACTTTCATCAGAGCTCTATCATGGTCAGGATCAGGACGGTCAACACTGAGATCGTGGTCAGCATAAGAACCCATGGTCCTTTCTTTCTGGCAACAATGCACATGTACCAGATATTAGCTTCAACAACAACGAGATATTAATATGAAAAATAAAACATAAAAAGTTGACACAAGGCTGAGAGGCTGAGAATGAAATAAACCTTGTCAACATGCATTTGCCGCATAGGGGGCATAGCAGAGCTCCTATCACGGAGCATTGCGTTTCTATGCGATGGAGCAAAGTGAATGGAGGCTGTTCCTGAAGTATCAGGTAAAAAGTGAGTAAACTCCACAAGTAAGTCTGAGTGCTCTTGGAAAAGTGCTGCAACCTGCAAAAGGTCAAATTGAAATTCTGAAACATGAGATAAATGAACATGATCAAATGAAGGGATAAGGTATGCGAAAGATGCACCAACACACCTCCTGGTAAACCTCTGTGATGGACTTGTTTTCCTTTCTGTACATATTCAGAATGTCTAAAAAAGATTTATAAACATGGTCATCGCCTTGAAATCGGGTCTGCAGGTAGAGTATTCATCAAGTTAGAAAACTTTATAGAAAACCTGTGACCTCATATTAAGCTATGAAGTGATGTTCCCACCTTAATCTTGTTCACGAAATTGATAGCTTCTTCAAATTCAACAGGCTTCTTTTGAGGAGGCTGTTGCTCATCCTCAAGTGGGAGGGTGATTTCATATCCCTTTGGCAAGAAGGTATTGAAACCTAATATTAGCTCTCGATGCCCTTTAAATAAATCCTTCACCCTCTCTATCACACCCGCAGTGTCAATTCTACAATCAACACAATACACAGAAACTCAAGTCAACAACACAAGCTCATATAAGCAAATGTCCACCCAACCCTCCATCAAGTAAAATAAGTTTATAAATTCAAGTAAAGCATGTGTCATAATCGAACCTTTGGGCCTTAAAGTCTTTCATGACTTCAAGAAATTCTTCGTATTTATCCCTGTTGTCTTGAAAAATATCCTTCACTGCCTTTAGATATGCTAAGGCATCACTTGTTGTTAGTTTCTGGGCAGCTGCTCCGCCCATCATCTGGGGTTGCCCCGAACTTCATTGCACAGAAAGAAACTTTGAAATTAGTTAACGTGCATCATTTCCAAACTCTTCCAGCAGATCAATAGCCCGGAAAACATATTTTTCACATAAAATTAAACATCATCTTAATTTTTATTCCACAAAAAGGAGAGATAAGAAAAGCCTGCACACATGACAAGGATAATAATTTCTATTTTTGGTGTGTCCTCTATCCACACCCGAGGAAGATTGAAACTTCTGAAAGAATTGGTCCAAAGACCTAAACAAAAATCTGATCTTTTGTCAGCAAGCCAAACGTTTAATTTCGAAGCTTTTTACTGTGAAATGACCATTTGATTTTAAGATAAAAATCAAAAGTGCACGCACAAACAGTAAATCAACAAGCAGGGACTCGTCAAATTCAAACATCATCATCAAGCAGAATATACATGGATAATCAACCACAAACATTAACATAAAGCAAAACTAAAGCAAACAAAAAAATATTAAGAAAAAAAAGAGAGAAGGAGATGAAGAACTTACGGCTCTCCTCGAGAGGAAACCATGGGCCGCTTGAGTTGTGAGGTCATAAAAACGTCTTCTCTGGACCTCTTCATCTCCGTCACAAACTCTTTCCCTCTTCAACCACAAATCATGCTTCAAACTGCGATTCAAAGCCCAAGGTAATCCTACAAAAACCAACTCGCTCATTCAACACAAGCAACAAGCACAGAGCAGATCTAAAACCAAATAACAAAAATTGGAACACAAAAGGTGAGCAAAAGTGACATACAAACAAGAATTCTAATCCCAAGCTCTGAACAGATCACCTTTCCGCAGCCAAATTCCTAACCACAAGAGAAAATTAGAGAGTAATTAACATTTACTTGAAGATAACGCAATGCTTAGATAAAATTTTCCGGGAAAAATACTGGACAATCTGGAAACGAAGATTACAAAGAGATCGTTAAGTCGTCGAATAGCCACCAAAGTCCTCCAGAACAAGCTTTTTTGTAAGCCAAACTCAAAAGAGCACACAAGGAGAAAGTTATATTGCGAAAATTATCGTGATTCTCTTAGCAACCTAAGGTGGGAGGGAATACGATATTAAGAAGCCAAATTATAAACTTTTCACCTTACGTTTTTTCTTTTTTATCTTTCTCGGAAGACAAACAGAAAACCAGAGAGAGAGAGAGAGAGAGAGAGGGAGAGAGAGTTTAGAAATGTGGTATATATAATATGGGGATATAAATACAAGGCAACACTACTCTCCTACAGCGAGAAGGAAAAAAAATTGGGGTGTGGAGAGAGAGAGAGGAAGGAAGTCATTATTTCGCTTATTTTTTTTCCCGGTCACATTAGGATTGTTTCCCGGTCGCATTAGGACGTGTTTACCGGTTATAGGCGGTTAAGGTCCTCCCACGTAATGAAAATTAGGGCTTTTGTCTCTATTAGGAGGTACTTAACTCCTCGGCACGAGTTAATTACAAAGGGGGCAGTGGCGAATTTTGGTGATTAAGTTGATGTGTTAGGGGTATACGAGTCACATTGTCAAACTTGTGGCTTTTTAGCAGGGTCAGGTGAGAGTGGTGGATGTGTCAAAATTTTGGGCATCCCTTGCTTTTGGCGATTTAGGGTTAGGGCAAAGGCAAAAGGGGGAGGAAGGAAGCCCGCAGATGTTATCTGTTATTGTTGTTGGTGTTTTTCTTTTGGGTGCTGCTGGTTTGGTATGAGTCTCTGAGTGGTTGTAGTAAATGGAGGTGGGTTTTGTAGATCATGATTTTTGATGATGAAATTGCGTCTAACAAAGCACTTGTCAAAGAGTAATTTAGCTTTGTAATCAATTTTCAGATTTGGGGTTTTTTTTTCTTTTGCTTAGCCTTTAAATATGATTTATCTGAGAATGTGGCTACAATTTCGATGTGAAAACTGTGATGGGCTGGGTCTCTGGTTGATGAAGGCCTTCTGGGTTTGGGGAGCTCACTTAGGTTGTGATTTAGATTTAGAATGCTTTGCTTTTAAGCAGAGCTAGGGCAACTTCAAAAGCCGACAGGGTCTTAGAATCCAACCTCAACTCAACTATGTAGTTCAACAAACGTGCATTTCTGTAAGATTTGTTTTCCTCGTCCAGTTTTAGTGTCAAAATATTTGAACTGAAAACATGGCCCTATTTATGTGGGCAGTTAGATAAAAGCCCAAAAGGATAATAATGGATCAACACTCAAGGAGAGGCCCAATGGCTTCATAAATTTTTGTCCCAATGGTGCCTTACATGTATGAGAGCCTAAACTCTGAATCCCTATGAGATTATCCCATCCTTTGGATCTTGTGGACAGAAGTGGGGAGAACTACTAAGTTTTGTGGACAATTCCAATTTGGTATTTTGTGATTTCACTTGTAAGGCATGTTAGTTTATGTCTTCTCAATTTTTATAATTAGATATCCCGGTCTTTTCAATTTGTTGTAATATGATTCTGCCGCTAAGGTTTTCATCAAATCTCATGTTCGTTGCCTATGTGGCATTTATGGGTCTCTCATTTTTGTTTAAGTAATATTCATAGAATATTTAAAAATTAATTTAAAAATAGAAGAAAAAAATACCCCATCATCCCCAAGCCATTCCCTGACTCTAATCCCAAGGCCCATACCATTGCCCAAATTAATCTCAACTTAGAGCCTCGACACCACTGTCACCTTTGCCTCCACCACTGCCTCCACCTTCACCTCCACCACTGCCCATATTCATCTCCAAAAATCCCAAGTAACCCAATACCCAAACCCAATCTCCAAACCCCAAATCCCCCATCTCCGAAATCCAACCCCCAATCCCCAACTCAAAGCCTTGACCCTAAATTGAATACAAAAATACGCTAGGGAGCTTTTATAGCCACTTGGAAAAACCTATTATGCACTTCTTCTTATAAAAGGAAAGAGTGCAATATAAATATAAAATTAAGTTAGTAATCAAATACCATGAAAATTATGAATGGGGAGTAGTTGATCTAATTCCATAATTTCTATATATAGGTTCCCCGATTCATTGATTTCCCTTATTCCTTATAAGCAAACATGACATTAAGGAATTGTTATTGTCACGCCAGAATAGTGATTGTGCACTAAATTCAAAATACCATAAAATGTCATTGATTAATGCAAACATTAAGAATTGAAATGATTAATTAAATGAGGATAATATGGTAAATTCACACTTTTTCATATATCTATATATATATAAAGCAAAAGGCAGAGAATAGTTAAACATTCAAAATACCAGAAAATGCCCTTAGTTAATTCAAACATTAAAAATTGAAATTATTAATTAAATGAGGATAATATGGTAAATTCACTTTTTTCATATTTAAACAATTAAAAATAAAAACAAAATCAGATTGTCATATCCTGGGATCGGCTCCACCGTAGCATTATATTATCCGCTTTGGGCCCCTCTCTCTGCCCTCACGGTTTTGTTTCTGTGAGCTCACGAGCAACTTCCCAGTGGGTCACCCAATATAGGATTGTTCTAGCTCCAACTTGCTTAACTTCGGAGTTCATTTGACTCCGAATCCAGTGAGCTCCTAAAAGGTCTCGTGCTAGATAGAGGCGGACATGTACATATAAGGCACATCAACCCCTCTCCGTTGGTTGATGTGGGATGTTACAGATAATAGCTCATAGTTTTATGGAACGTAACTACCCATATTATATTTTCTTAATTCTTTTTATAAAAAAAATTTAAAAAAAAACCCAATTGGCACATGCTCACGCATGTGCCAAGGAGCTAGTATATATAAAGTAAAAGGTAGAGAATGGTTAAACATTCAAAATACCAGAAAATTTCATTGGTTAATGCAAACATTAGGAATTGAATTATTAATTAAATAAAGATAATATGATAAATTCACACTTTTTCATATTAAAAAAATTAAAATTAAAATTAGATAATGGATCTTATTTTTATGGAACACAACTATCCATCATCTTTTTTAATTCTAGAATAAATTTAAAATTTTTTAAATTTTTTATTATTAAAAAAAAAAGCCTATTGCAAATGCGGAATGGCGTGCAGAAATGCTAGTATTTATTTATTTTTTTTAAGAATATAATAGGTCATATTTTTATAGAACATAACTACTCATTATCTTTTTTTAATTATAAAATATAAATAAAATTTTAAATAAATATAAATAATATAAATATGTATTTTTAAAAAACCAATTGGCATTGTAGTCTTTGGGCTTTCCTAGCAACTAGCCAGCCTACGTGGGGAATTGGGTCCGTTTCCAGGGTCCCGCTGAGGCCCATGGTTAACTGGAATATAAGCCATGATCACTGGCTGGGCAAGTAGACCCCCTGAGCCTGCCTTCATATAGTTAAGAGGCCTGCCCTATCTTTATGAGACCCAACCCCTTCAGCAAGGGAGAAGGTCCATTTTAGCATATGCAGCCAAAACCAGAACCAGAAGCAGTAGATGATTGTCCTGTCTTGTCTTGCTGCAGTTGATTGAAGTTGCAGCCTCCTTCTCTTCCTCCCTCCATGTGGAATTATTAAATATTCCAATGATGCATATATTCCGAACATTGTGCGTGCCACGTAAACAGTAGAATTATGACCTATCTCTGGTCCCATTTCCAGTGGCAGTGCCCTACAACTCTAGGACAGATCCCCAATCAATCATGCATCTTATTAGATTCTTAATCATAGGGCAGAGAAAGAAAGGGTTCGTATATTTAATTCCATTTAAGTCTCACTAGTGTACGTCCCATATCTTTCACCTACATCAAGTCATAAATTTATTTGCACCACAATTATTTGACGAATTATATATGCTATATATATATATATTATGTGAAACCACAACGGCCAGGAGATATTATATTGATTCAGCTCAGTTCTTCCTTTTAAGTTGAGTATAGTTTGTGTATTATATTTGTGTATTATACTTGCTCATAACATTTCTGCTTAAATCTCATAAATAGACTTTGCAATGACTCGAGTGTCAACCTTAAACTCTATGATATATATATATGCATGTCTAATCTGATTTGTTTTTGAGTATCGAACATAAGATTGGATTAAGTTGATCAACTCGTTAATTCTACTTATCTTGTCCACCAATCGAGCCCGAAGGGTGTGGCAATCATCAAACTTCTCCAACATATACAGTGAATATATATATATACTCGATATGCGTTGATCCCACATACATGTAGAATTGTCACATGCATAAAAAGGGTACTATCTAGTTGGAGAATGGAGACGTGGTCAAATGCTGGATGCTAACATACTAACAGGGTTAAGCGAAGAAGTGGAGAATGTTTTTGTGGGGGATGCATATGCATAATGCAGTGCCTTAGCCTCGTGTCACATGCCTCCTGAATCTCATCTTTATATATTAACTGATGATGAATTAAGTTTTGGTACAACCAAGCAAATAAATAAGTATATTTGTCCATATCGACTTGGCCATATCATTCAAATTTATACGGAAACACAAGCTGCATGTGAGAGTGTCGAGTGAGAGGGAAAACACACATATGGAAATGGAAGAGAAGCCAAAAAAAGACATAGGGGATATTTACTTGAAAGAATTCGATGGTTTTGGTCTACATTTCGGCCTCCCCCATGTGAAAGGCCTAGCAGCAATCCAACCAAAAGAGCTTATCAGATGGGGTCTGCTTCTCAGTCAAACAACATGGACCACTGGCTGGCCAGGCGCCCAATCCAATATATCCACATAATTTAGAGCCATCTCCCCATTTATTTAAAACAGCATTGTACAATAAGTATTTAAGTTAATAATTAATTATATATTTTTAATCTCGATTGTTGGATTGCATTCGAATGTAATCTAACGATCAAAATTAAAATATATAACTAATTTTTAACATAAAACACTTATTAAATATCTAATTATTTTAAACTTGGAGGTCCAAGTGCTCGAATTATTATTTTAGCCAAGTGGTCTTTTAGTAAAATTATGAGTTTCCATAATTTTAATTTGATTTGACAAGGAGCAATAGACAAAGTTTGTGTCGGTTTATTATCAATACATTGCACCCACAGAACAGAATTGTGTGTTTGTTTTCATTATTAATCAGTCCAACATCAGCGCTTGTAGACCATCTAAAAGGAAACATTTATTATTTGGCACTATTATATTATGGCATAAAAGTCCAAACGACACCAACACTTCAAATGACAAACACGAGATCGGGAGGACCAATCCGCCCAACTCAAGTTATATATCGTGTGTGCTATCTATAGCTCTTCAGATCTATATGCCACTGTTTTTTTATATAGCTGCATTAAACGAGTCTCCGGGCACATTGAGATCACCTACCATGCAATGCGTTCAAAGAGATCAGTTTTTGGTTCAAATTTTTTATTATACATACAAGCGATATTAAAAGAAGGAATTTGAATTCATGACCTTGAATGCAAGAATAACTGCTCTTAACCACTTAAACTACAACTCTCTTACAACTTGATTTTTTTATAATCATGAAGTGGGAAGTCAAAACTTGTTAAAAGTGAGGAGGGATGAGAAAAGAGAGAAGGAACTTCCTCCTTTTCCCGTGAATTTGCCTTTCATATCTCAAGAGAGAGACTCAAATTCAAACTCACATGCATGTTCATCTTCAGTTTTCTCCTCCTCTGAAGAAACATGTCCCTCACTCATGATTAGGTTCCCGTGCTATAACGATATCGAATATGTGTAGTGGACGTACGAAGTTGACAAATGAAAAGATCGACTGGCTGATTCTTCTCACCCATATATATCATGATTCATGAACGCTGGTTTCAGCTTTGAAGGCAAGTATGCAAGGGTTATGGATATACTTCAATATTTTAGTTAAGATAACGTAAGGCTTATGGATGTTTAAATGATATTTTAATTTGCATTTCAGTATCTTTTTTGTAATCAATTATTTAAATTGACAGTTTAACAATATAATATTTAATTAATACATTAGAATACTATTCAACGTGTTCATTTTAATGATTATACATGTTGAGTTAAGTATGAGGCATGCATCTTTGTTAAGCTAATTGTGCTTATTGGGTGTTTAGTTGTCTTGCTCTCTCTCTCTCTCTCTCTCTCTCTCTCTCTCTCTCTCTCTCCCTACATGTCTTCCACTTTCTACGCAATCAAATGGGGCATAATTAAATAATTAAAGCAATTACATTCCAAAAGTTCGTTGCAGTACTAACTCTACTTTTGCTAACTACTATTTTATGCAAAAGCAGCACAAACAAAAACTGATATATTCCAAACACCATGCTCAGTTGTTGCTTGCTTTAGTATTCTTAATTCATCTTAAAACCATTCAAAATTCCTCAGAATCTCAAGCTACCTAATCTAACATCCACTTTTTTTGTAATGCATCTCATTTTCCATGACCAATATTACTTACAAGTTTACAACTATATCTAGTTAAAAAGAAGGGTTAATTTGAATATGCCTTTTTTCGATCGAAATATAGTGCGCGAAAGCAACAGAAGAGGACCGGAAGCTGCCAAACCGTTTTGCATCAAAAAACAAAAGAATCATAGAGATGTCACATGAATTCTAACTTATTTAGCGTCACCATACACATTCCCTTAAAATTAGGGCTACCCTTATGATGCATGCTAGTTGCAGTTTAGCATTTTCTCTCTTAGCTTCCTGGATGATCTTTTTCTTTTTCATAATCTCATTCATTCGAACTTAAATCACGGGGGCTCTTTATTTATCTTTTGTACCAACTTGGGGCTCTTTCAGTTCAAAAGCATCAAATATGCTGTAATTGCGATATGGCCATATTGCAGGTTTTGTATTAGCATATAGAGCTAGCTATTAGGTTTGGTAGGTAAAGATGGATAAAGGGTCGTCTTTCAACGACCCCGTTTTAAGCCCCACAGCCGAATCTCTAGGGTTAGGTCCCAGCTAAATGAAACACACTAAACATCGTGATTAGCATAACATGAGTTTATTCTTTCACAAAGGAGCAAATTAATTAGCAGACCCCATAACTTCAAATTTAAAAATTCAAAGAAAAGATGAACCAAAACCAGGTAGTGGGTCCTAATCAACTAGAGTCTACATCAAGTAAAATTGAAGTCAGAAACAGAAGGCATCTTTTTTGCACCACACCCCAACTTTTTTTTTTGTTTTGCTTTTGCTAGAAGAGAAGAGACACTCTTGCTAGATTTAGTTCATTGAATATTCAAGATTTAGGTGTCACGTGACTTCCTGGTTCTAGATCACTTTAACAAGGTTGTGCCTCCCTTATCTTCTCCCTCTCGATCACATGCTCCCCAGTACCTAATTTTGTTATTCACTCTTTTTGGCTTTAGCCTTTATAATTTTGTTTTT